TCCCAGAAGAACTTCGCAACATACGAAGCTTAGTCGCCCCACTGGCGCAGATTATAAATGATACAACTATCATCAAATTGGACAAGTTGATTAAGACTCTTTGGAGGTTATGGATACAACGACGAGCACAAGGGGAGGCCCATGCTCGTCCTCCAACCACCAACCAATNGTCTTTCCTCTTGTCCAGCCAAAGTTCCTAATGAAAATATTATCTAACATGAGTTGCTTCTACAAGGTGCCTTCTTTTGCGCACCAAGTTGCAAAACATCATGAAAAAACAAAATTAAATTCAAAATTAATTGACTTATAACGGTTTGACCATAATGGTGTGTTATCCATTGCAATAGGTATATAGTCAGTAGATTATAATATACTTCCCACTAGCAAAAAAAAAAAAAAAAGGTATATAGCCCGTGGATTATAATATATTTACATTATCAAAAATAGAGCAGCTGAAGCAAGGTCCTCGTCCAATTGCAAGAACTCGTATTTATTGGGCATCAAAATTTTTTGCTGTGATTAGCACTGACGTTTTGATGCTCTTTTTGGATATGATGTCGAAATGCTTTTCTCAGTTGACTATGGAGTGATTCACACTCTTAAGCTGGCTGATGGGTCAAGAAAATGTATCAGAATGTTATTCCAGAGGTTGAGCAAACCAGTCAATTTCAATGAACAATTTAAGAACTCAACTAAGGATGTGTTTTCTCAAAAAATCCATGGTGCTAGGTGACAAATTCGGAAAGTTCTGCAAATGTGGATTCTATGTTCTTTGCGAGCCCGAGTATTTGGCTCACAATATATCTGAGTGTAGATGGGCACCAGCGTTGCCAACCAAATTACCTGAAATTCCATCACATTGCTCTCCACTTGATACGAGATTCTGTCAACTTTCCCCAGGCAGTATTTTTGAGGCTACGACTAGATCGTTGCTATTGAATTGCGCCTAAATTCTCTCAATAATAAGTGAATTCTTGAATTTGTTTGCTGTCCAGTTCGACAATCACTATTGTAAGAGGAAAGTTGTAACATTCCCGTGCGCCGAACCACAAAAAGACCACAATTTAAAAAGGATCAAAGAAGAATACATTAGCCGAAAGTATTAATATCAAGTAATCTTGACCCAATTTAGGCGACACTGGATAATAAATTTCTATATTTAATCCAAATGAATGCCAGCGGTTCCACCAATATTGATGAAGTTTGAGCATAGTCTTTTTGAGCTTTGAATTGCTTTTGTACGCCTTCAAAGATTTTTGATCAATTTTTTAATCTTTTAGAGGCCAGTAATCAGCTTTGGACTTCATAAAAACCAAGAGCTATTCTGTACGTGAGCTAATGAGAGCATTAATATTTCCCAGTATTGTGTACTGAAATAGTTTCAAATTTTACAGTTCATAAGAAGACTGCATAATTGCCTCTTCAGTAGTATAAGATGCAGCGAAGGTCATGACTGCCTGAAACACTTTTTTGTTTCTTGCAATGGGAAGTATCTTGCTTCACTCTATACATGGCCCTTTCGGTAACAATTCGGACAGCAGAAATACCTATTGCAAAGAAAATACCATAAATTATGTAATTAACGTAGATAGAAGTCAGATTCAATTTTTTGCTAACGGGGAGAATGATTTATGTTGTAATCTACTGACTATATACCTTTTGCAATCGATAACACACCATCATGGTATCAAACCTATATAATTAATAAAAATTAAAATCGATTTTTTGATGCTTTTTTGCAGCTTGATGCGCAAAACACGACAACATTGTCATGTTAGTTGACAATATGTAGTAAGAGCTGTGAAAAATGGAATTCAGGATGTTGAATTTCGACTTTCAGCAAAGAGTGGCTCCAAACCTCAGCTTTTAGTCTCAACTTGTTCCTCATGGCCCAATGGTCAAGGCGTCTGGCTACGATTCAGTAACCACTTCTCGGTTGGAACCAGAAGATTCCAGGTTCGACTCCTGGTGGGGAAGTTCCTCTTTTTTTTCGCCAGCGGTCACCATCTGAAAATTAAAGGCACAGCACCCTGTCCCAACCTGGCCGGGCTGTGCCCCAGCCCAGGTCGCTTGCAAGGGGTGACGGGGCGATACTGCAACAGTAAAAGTCTTAGCGAGTGACACTTTGGGTAGACAATTTCGTAAACCGGGCGAAATCCCAACCAAGAAATACCATTCACGGAAATTAAGTTATCATTGCCTATTTGGTAGGTGCCATGATAATCATCTCGCCTTGTCGTAAAGTAAGCTTGGCGGCAGCTGTTCGCCAACATGGCTTAGACACCTCCACGCACGTGATTTCGCAATTTCTGTTTGGGGGACGCGGTTGGGCGGTTCGCCATCATCACACTCACCGCCACCTGCTGATGGATGTTCCTAGCCAAGTCATTCCCCGTGACGTGACAGGGAATCCCGAGGCCAGCAACCACGCAGTGATATCAGTCACCCAGCAGGGACCGCTGCGTCAGGGTCTGGTGCCACAGCCTCGCTAGCTTCGCCAGCCGTCCTAGCCGCCAGGGCAATTTGACACTAAGTCCCCACCGGGCACCGTCCTGCGATAGTGGGTACAATTGGAGCCGAACAGGCGTGCGGTCGATCTGGTAAGCCCTTGAAGAAACTTGGCGCCGCTCGTATTCTTGCCTTTGGCAGTAGGGATTGTTTCTGGTGGCCCCTGGCCGTACGGCTGCGGCTCCAACGAGGCGAAGCAGGCGAGGCAGGCCGGGACTCCGAGCCGGTTGGTCCCCCATGGGCGGAGGGTGATACTGCTCCATGGTGGTGGTAGGGGTGGCAGTGACTGTTGTGGGGGCTCCAGCAATCCCAGATGCTGGCAGGTCACTGTCGCCACCGCGGCCACGGCCCACCACTCATGACCAATGCCAGTGTCCCAGCGAATTTTGGCCGCAGCAGACAGGGGCCAGCGTGCGCGCACCACCCGCGTTGGCTGCAAAAACGCCCGCGCCAGGCTCGCTAATTTCCCAGCAATTCGGGAGGCGATTCCCCCGCCAAACATGCGCCTGCCAGCCTTGCGAGGTAGGCAGAGTGGTGGGCAGGGAGGATTGACTCTAGCATGTTGGCGTCTGGCGCCTATCGGCGATATCTGTACGACCATCGAAGGCACGGACCTCCACATTCATTCCACCACTCCACACGCACGTCCCAACATTCTCACCGTTCATTCCAACGACTCCACGATCTACGCCCATCTTCACGCACACCACCACCACGCCCATCTTCACGTCCACCACCACGTCCATCGTCACGTCCACCACCACCACGTCCACCACCGCGTCCACGTCCCACCACCCTCCACCATCCTGCTCTCACGACGGACCCCTCCCCCATCCTCACTCCTGCAGACAGCCTAGCACAGCCTCGTCCCGCGCGCACGCAACGATGCCCGTTCCATCTGCCATCCTGTCTCAAATCTTGGCGGCTGAACTGCGCCAGGGTTCGATTATTCCCTCATAAGACTTCCTAAATCTGCCAGTTTTACCTCGTCACTGGTTCAATTCCTCCCCCTCCACATCCACCACCACCATCGCCTCCACCACGAATGGTCCACTAGCCACCTCGCTTATCTGATCTCAGTCGGTTCTACCTTGAAACTGTCCAGTCGGTTCCTATCAAATCCCAGTACGAAGAGTATTGCAGTGATTTTCTACCAACAACCAGCCTGAGCTCTCCACAACTTCCCCAGCCATGGCTCCCCAGACTCCTGCCGACAGAGCAGTCACTGCCCTGACCCTCCGTCCCGACACCACCAATGTGGATGCAGCCAGCGTCAACTCGGCTACTCCCCTCAACGACAACTCCGACGAGCTCACTCACGAACCAGCGCCCCTCGCTGCCATCAAGCAGACATTCACTGGCCTCACCACCTCGGCCTCTAGAAAAACTGCCCACCAATTCGCGATCACTCCTGCCTCATTGACAGAGTTGCACGATCCCAAGTCCCTCCGAGCCTTGTACAATATCGGTGGATTCTCCAAGTTGCAGGCGTTGCTCCAGGTCAACGCCGACACTGGACTCGACGACTCCGATAAGCACGATGCCGAGTCCCGTCTGGCCTTTTTTGGAGCCAACAGATTACCTACAAAGTCCCAAAAGTCGTTTTTGCGCCTTTGTTTCGAGGCCATGAAGGATAAGGTGTTGATCCTTTTATCAGTGGCTGCAGTTGTGTCGTTGGCGTTGGGATTGTACGAAACTTTTGGTGAAGAAACTTTCTACGATGACGAACACAAGCCCTTGCCCAAAATCGACTATGTCGAAGGTGTGGCTATTTTGGTGGCTATCTTTATTGTCGTGATCGTTGGTGCTGCCAACGATTACCAGAAGGAAAGACAATTTGCCAAGTTGAATGCTAAGAAAACTGACAGAGATATTATCGTCATCCGTGGCGGACAGCAGAAGTTGATTTCGATCCACGATCTTTTGGTTGGTGACATCATTAATCTTCAAACCGGTGACGTTGTTCCTTCAGACTGTATTTTGTTCAATGGTGAAATCGAATGCGACGAATCCGCCTTAACTGGTGAAAGTGCTACCATCAAGAAGGCCCCAGTCAAATTAGCCTTGGAGTATTATGAACTGCAATTGCCCACTGACGAAGATTTGGGTTCCGCAAAGATAAAATTCAAGGACCCATACCTTATTTCTGGCTCCAAGGTCTTAGAAGGTTTAGGTAATGCCATTGTTACAGCTGTTGGAAAGAATTCTATTCATGGAAGAACAATGTTGAGTCTTAATACTGAAGCTGAAACTACTCCATTGCAAGAAAGATTAGACAACTTGGCTGAAGGTATTTCCAAGTACGGGTTCCTTGCAGCCCTTGTCTTATTCGTCGTGCTTCTCATCCGTTTTGGTGTTAATATCGCCCCAGGTGGTCGTTTTGCTGACTATGTTCCTGCTGAGAAGGGTAAGGTCTTCATGGATATCTTGATTACCGCTATTACTATTGTCGTTGTTGCAGTTCCTGAAGGTTTGCCTTTGGCCGTTACGTTGGCATTGGCATTCGCCACTACCAGAATGGCTCAAAATGGTAACTTGGTTAGAGTATTGAAGGCATGTGAAACTATGGGTGGTGCCACTACTATTTGTTCTGATAAGACTGGTACTCTCACTGAAAATAGAATGAGAATCGTCAGAGGTTTCTTTGGGTTGCAAAATGAAGGACCCTTGTCCTTTGATGATTCCGTTGGAAGTGAGGGTGTAAAATCGACTGAAATTCTTGACAAGATTGATCCAAATCTTAAGATATTCCTTTGTACCAACATTTCGCTCAATTCCACTGCGTTCGAAAACTCTGAATATGATGAAGAAAAGGCCCATCTCGCCAAGCAGAAGCCAAAGCAAGTTCCATTCTTGAAACAACTCTTCCAGAGTCACGATCAAATTCAACAACAAATGGAATTGGGTACTGTTATTGAACCATACGTTGGTAACAAAACGGAATCTGCTTTATTGATTCTTGCAAATGACCTTTTCAACCTATTTGGATCGAAGACTTTGGAACAACACCGTCATGACAATCTTGCGAACATCGTTCAAATCATTCCATTCGAGAGTTCCAGAAAGTGGTCTGGTATTGTGATGAAAATTGAAAATGGATTCAGACTCTACGTTAAGGGAGCAGCTGAGATCGTATTCAAAAACTGTGGATACCAATTCAATACTGAAGGGCAATCCATTGCAATGGATCGTACTTTGAGAGACAAATGTTTGAACTGCATTGATGAATATGCCAATGACGCTTTAAGAGCAATTGCCTTGGGTCATAGGGACTTTGTTGGTCTAGAAAGCTGGCCCCCTAAGGAATTGGCTTATGCTGATAATGAAAGTGAAGCCGATCCAAAGTTATTGGTTCAAGACAAAGGATTTTCGTCAAACGCACTTGCTCGCTTCAATGGTTTAGAAGACAATGAAGAAGTTAAGACCCAGGATAGACCACTCACTCTTGATTCCATAGTTGGTATTCAAGACCCCCTTAAGGAGGGTGTACCAGAAGCCGTTCTTCAATGTCAGAAGGCTGGTGTTAGTGTTAGAATGGTCACTGGTGATAACTTAATTACCGCTAAGGCCATTTCAAAGAGTTGTTACATTCTCACCCCCAATGATTTGTCGAATGAGTTTGCTTTCATGGAAGGTCCCGCATTTAGAAAACTTTCACCAAAGGAGAGGGCTCGGATTGCCCCGGACTTGAAGGTTTTGGCTAGATCTTCTCCTGAAGACAAAAGAATTTTAGTTGATACACTTCGTAAGGCTGGTGAGGTTGTTGCAGTCACCGGTGACGGTACCAATGACGCACCTGCCTTGAAGTTGGCCGATATTGGTTTTTCTATGGGTATTTCTGGAACAGAAGTTGCCAGAGAAGCATCGGATATTATTTTGATGACTGATGACTTCAATGATATCGTGCAGGCTATTAAGTGGGGTAGAACTGTCGCCATTTCGATCAAAAAATTTATTCAATTCCAACTTACTGTTAACATTACTGCCTGTGTTTTAACGTTTGTGTCTGCTGTTGCTTCTTCTGAGAACAAATCTGTTTTAACGGCTGTTCAATTATTGTGGGTCAATTTAATCATGGACACTTTGGCCGCATTGGCCCTTGCTACTGATAAACCTGACGACTCATTTTTGAACAGAAAGCCCCTGGGAAGACATGCGCCATTGATATCAACTTCCATGTGGAAAATGATCATTGGTCAATCTGCAACCCAATTGATAATCACATTCATTCTTCATTTCGAAGGAAGCCAATTGTTCTTTGGTGACAGACATATCAGTAACCATGAATCGCAACAAATGAATGCTTTAACTTTCAACACTTTTGTTTGGCTTCAATTCTGGAAATTGGTTGTCACTAGAAAGTTGGATGAGGCTGACGATATCAATACTGTTCGTGGTAGGATTACCAGAGAAAACTTGGATTTCTTCCAGCATTTGTTCAGAAATTGGTATTTCATCACCATTGCATTAATTATTGCTGGATGTCAAATCTTGATCATGTTTGTCGGAGGTGCTGCCTTCAGTATTGCCAGACAAACTCCAGCCCAATGGGCAACCGCGATTGTCTGTGGCTGGTTGAGTATTCCAGCGGGATTGATCATCAGAATTATTCCAAACTGGTGGGTTGAAAAGATATTCCCTACTAGGGCATTCAACAAGTTCATTTATTACGCCGGATTCAACTTCCTCAAGAAGAAGAAGAAAGCAGACGAAGAACTGGAAGAAGAGGTCAGTGAGACCAAAGAACAGGAAGTTAAGCAATAGCTACCGTCAAAAACACAACTCAATACGTGCCAGACATGATTTGCATAATAGCCGAACACAATTTACGATAATGTTCACGACTAACAATTAATTTAAAACCTTACTTTAGAGTATAATTAGTATCTTAATACATTCAATTCTTGACCTTTCGCAGTAGCTTTAATAGTCGTAGTATTTCCTACCAGGAGTTAGGTTTTATTGAGTGCGAACTCCATATTCATAGAGACTGAAGTACTTCCTACTGAATTAATTAAGCCTAAAATACCAAATGCATAGCCTGCCACCATCTTGAGAAATATAGTGGTTTCTTTCCGTGCCAGACTCGATCAGTCCTGAGCAATTTTTTCTAGCAAAGTAGGTCATTTGCCTTCCTTATATGCCTCTCTTTCTGCCGTTATCCTAGTCAAGAATTGTTTGTACAGCGGCCTGAATTTGTTCAAGTTGTTAAACAAGTTGCCTATCTCTATCAACTTGTCAATCAGATCCAAAATCGGTTTAGGGTTTGGCAAGTCTGCCAATTTCTTTGTAGATGCATGAAATTCGTTCAACAAACCTTCGAACTGCTCTACGGTGAGCGAGTCGTTGGGAGTGCCATTTGTGGAGGCCAAAACTGTGTTATTGACAAATTCAAAGATGGATAGCACCTGGGTCAAATTGGCCTTGACTAGCTTCAACAGTCTCAAGTTTTCCACTGACGAGTCGTCATCTTTCGCCTCCGAGTTCATTTCCGACACCACCAGTGAAAGCTCGGTCTGGAGCGATAGTATGGCGTTGTTCAACACGTTGACATAGTACTGTAATCTGGTGGTGCTGTTGGTGGACACTTCATGCTCACCTACAAGGTTGTTGGTGTTGGTTTTCAAGGTGTCGAGCTTTTCTCTCAAATTGCGGCTCAATTCGTTGGTGTAGAAGTCCAAGTGGGTGATGAGGCCCGAGATCTGGTTGGATAGGTCCCCAAGGCCTCTGTTTTGATGGTGGAGGGTGGGACGAGTAGTGGTGGACATCTGAAAAAGGGTGTCGACGTACGCTTCAGGATCGTACTCGTTGTCGAAAAACATGGCGAGGTGGTCTGGAGGCGTCGTTTCTGTCATTGTGGGTTACAGGAGAGTGGGGAGTTGGTGAGACTAGATGCTAGAAGTGGTTGTAGTAGTTGGATCTAGTGGATAGTTGGTATGGATTTGGAGAGACTGGACTGTTCTGTATGCAGGTCGCCAATATGAGTTCAGTTTAGGGTGCAAAAGATTGGATAGAGGAGATCAAATGGGGTCCAGTTTGTTTGTGCGATGGCTGCGTGTCTAGCAGATGGAATTGGTGAATGTGTTTTTATAACGCACCTGGTTTCATAGGAGACAAAGAGTCACAGAAGTAAGACCTATCTTATTGGGTTGTGGTACTATGACACGGTATCAGTTTATATCATTAAAGCAATCACAGACCTCGATAATTAGCCTTGATTATACTTCGTTTTAGTTTGCTGAATTTCTCAACCATAATGTGTATTATTGAATAAATGGATTATATTATCCACTTCACGGTATTTAAGACCCTTTGATTATAATTTAGCAGTGAGACTTCGATAGCTTTATGGTGATGTCTACATCATGTTCCAACAGCATGTTTTTTGTTCAGTTGGGAGGTCATATCTACATAATAGTATACAAAGATGAGGAAAAATCAGTTCCAGGACTCATCTATGAGTCAATGATTGACATTAAGGGAACTACCAGTGGATCCGGGTGTCTTGCCCTACTCAAGTAGTCAATGAATAGAAATTTACACTGCAGATAGCATTAAAAAATTCCAATACCTTGAGGTTAAATCAACTAATTATTAATGATAAAAAAAGATCAATTAGTCTGTGGCATGCGTTGAGACGACTAACAGGTTACAACGTAGCCGGGTTTCCAATTTGACAGATACTCTCAAAAGAAAGACATAATGGACGAATTGCCACTTTTATGGAAACATAAATTAATTTGGGTCTGGTATTATCAACAGAACAATAGTAGAGTTATACCGTCGTCTCGCTTAGCGAGGTTAAAAAATCAATACAGTCCAAAAAACTAAATTACCCGAACCAGCCGTTACTCGTCACTACCAGGCGAGTCACCAACGTGGTACTCCCGGGTGGTTCTACTCTTGTTACAGCTATAGAGGAAACCTTCCTCAGCGCTACAGCCTGTTCATAGATCATTTATTCAAGATAAATACGCGAGCATCGTACCCCGGGTACAACGGCCAGTTCGCTTACAACTTAGGTCTTGGGTCAATAGACTTGAAGACACCTTCAATGGCAGTGGCCTTCATCATGTTACCCTTGACCTTCAAGGCACCGTTCATGAACAACTTTTGACCGTTGGCCTTACCGTTGGCCAACTTGACGAAGTCAGCGTCCTTCAAGATCAATTGGACGTCGGTCTTTGGGACGGAGTCGACCTTCTTGACGTTACCTTCGTTCTTGAGGTCCAAGATCCACGATTGTTCCTTGCCTTCCTTGTTCTTCAAGGTTATAGCAAGAACAGCCTTGACTTGGGCAAGGGCCTTTTGCTTGATCTTGTCGTCCTTGAGGGCGTCGTTCAACTGGGTGAGCAAGGCAGAAGCGTTAAATCCATCGGCGGCTAAGTCAGACATTGTAGTGATAGTGTAGTAGTTATTGATACTGAATAGAAAATACAATTGCTGGGTAGGCGCCTTATATATATATCGGGGTGAATTTCACAAGTATGGGGTAATTTTGTCGGGCTGCGGTGGACTGAATGGCGCACGTGAGAAGCCTCCTAGTTTGCACCGCCAGTGTGCTCACAATGCCAGACATGGCCGCGGTGGTACTTCGAGGGGAATGGTGCATTGTGGCCTCCAGGCCAGTGTTGGGCTGGTGCTTTGGTGTTGGAGGTGCTAGAGAGTGTCTGCCATGTGAATTCTTGGTCATGGCCCTGCTTGCCATTTGGATGGATTGAGGAGGTGGCTGTTTTGTGTCACCGCGATTCCTCGGTCAACTTGTAGTTACGGCGGGGCACGTGAGAGCAACTTCCATGTGATTGCAGCCGATGGAGTTTGGTTGGGAGAGTAACGGCGATAGTGACCGATACTGACGGGTACCACCGAGTAGAGGTGGTTGTGTACAGATTTGGCTGGGGCCGCTTAGCAGCCCTGCACCACTGCGAAAGACGTGTGGTTGTTGGCTTCTTTGGCTTCAGTGTTCATTCAGCTGCTACCAGTCGATCAGCTAATGTAACCGCCAACATATCCGCTAACGTAACCACCACCATCCACGCCACCCACCCAAACTTCCACCACTAGCCGCCACTAACCACCACCGACCGCCCCTACCGCTTAACCGCTGAACTGCTTAACTGCTTAACCACCACCATCTGACAGCATCCACATCAGACTTCACCACCCATGTGATTTCGTGACAGAATGCGTCAATCTGTCTCCCAACACGCATCTGCGCTTCTCTAGCATGTGCCATTTCTTTAGCCTGACACTAGTCAGGATTGGCGCTATGACCTCATCTATTGTTGCCTGTGATTTGCACTACCGGAGCAGGCCACGGCCCAGAATGGCACGCGATAAGAGTGGTCGCGTGCTCTTGGTCACGTGATCCACCCTCCGAAAATTCACCTCATCTCGCTGCCGAACCGTACCTGATCCCTGCCTCTCCAGCCAGTTCTCGCCTCCGAACCCCATGTCCTTCGCATCCAACACATCCAGAAAGCTGGCCCAGTCAACAGTGGCAAAGCTCTTCGAAAATGTGCTTCCAAACTCCACCTTGGCCGTGCCCGCGGACGACACCCATCTTTCCTCCACACAACTTCTTTCCAGACAGTTGAACACCAAAGTGACCAAGTCCAAGAAGAAAAGCGCTAAGTCATCCCAGAAAATCAAAAAACAAATGGAGCAAGACAAGAAATTCAACAAAATGATCAAGTATAACATCATCAAAGGCCACGAGGACCACTCGCCCGAAGAACTCAAGTACTTGGCCAAATTGCGCAGGAAAAACATCAACCAGATAAATAACGTGTCCAACATAGACGATGAGGACATTCTGCACGAGTTGGACGAGTTGAGGTCGTCATTATTGGACAATGAGTTGATTTCCAAGCAGCCCAAGAAGAGATTGAGAGGAAAGTACGTGGGAGAGACCAGACACGCCAAATACCAAGACTTTGACAGCAAGATCAAGAGAGGCTTGATTTCGTACCCAGGTTTGACTCCAGGCTTGGCCCCTGTGGACTACAACGAGAGTGATAGCGAGTAGGCAGCGAGCCGGAAAGAAGTTGTTAATGTGAACAGAGACAATTCACAATCCTACTTGCAAGCATATTTTAAAGTACTTCAACATAGTATCTTTTTTCATCACCAGAGCAGACACCTAATGCTGAACTAATGTATAATAGAAGCGCCCAATCGGATGCATTAATTGGTAATAAATCTTGGGAGTATGATTGATCGTCACTAGAATTTATTCCTTGAGAATACGTATATTCTTATTACGCCAAAATATTTAGTAATTATTCTTGAGAATATATGCATATCTTTAATATTGGTTGGGTATCCTATTGATACCCCTTTTGCATCCCACTTGTAATAGAACATTCTATATTAGGGCCGTTGCCCGAGGTCTATATATCTATAATGTACGGTATCTAAAGTTCATACAACACTTGTCTCAAGTCACAGCAAAGCTTCCGCACTGCTCTCTTTTTGTCATCCAAACCTCCTTTCAACTCGTTTAATGCACTTGCCTTGTATCTTTCTAAACCATTAAACTTAGTAAAAATAAGAATCAAGCATCTCAAACTCAAAATTCTGATCTCCTCGGAGTTAATTCTGACGTTACCAGTTCTGATCACCTTGGTAGCCCAATTCAACAAGCTTGGGATCAATGTCGATAAATGAGGCTGAATAATCGATTGACTTTCCTCAATCGTGATTTTCAAGGTGGATAATGATGACTTGATGATAGTTGTGGAATCCTTAACAGCAAGACCTCTCAAAACCAATGGCAAAATCTCTTTTAAGTGGCTGCTCAAAATCTTTGTCGAGATATTCTCAATAATCAACGACAAGGCATTCAATGATATTTCTGGATGGTTTTCTGAACTCTCGCAGTTTTCTATCAATCTTGGAAGAATAAGCTCGAACACTTGTTGCTTGTAGAGAAGCTTGACGTTCAAATTTGTCACTTTGGAAATCAACTTCTTGGCATTGATACTAGAGGTGGTCTTGGTATTATCGAAGATTTTAAGATCGATGAATAAGATAGTCAAGGATTTTGAAATGACATGCTTGACCTCAATATCTTGACTTGTGGTCAAGTCATCGATAAGCTTACCCAAGTACTCGATACCCACGCGATCAGTTCTCAAGATTAAAGCCTTTATCAACCAAATTAAAATCTCGAAAGATACAAAATCCTTCTTACCATAATACTTCTCGAGTTTAGATGATTGGTCACTGGTGTCAAATTTGTTGACGAGAATGGATAAAGTTTGCAAGTACTGAATTCTCAAAAATTCATCAGATTGGAGGGAATAAATCAACTTTGTCACACTCTCTTCTGCCTGCTCAACCTGCTCGAATTTCACTGATTTGTCCACGTTAGCTAAAATCTTATTGATAAGACTTACCAATTGATGAGGCTGTTCAAATACGTTTGGCAACCCGCCAATTTTGCATTGCAAAAAGTCATCCAAAATGGCTTGGTGCTTGGACTTCTCAATGAATCGGATAATTAAACCCACCAAATCACCACATCTATCGATCAAGTACTCATCTGGATTAACCTCGAGCTTTGTTAAAGTGGTCAAGATCCTTGGTACGAATGACTTGTACCATGAATTCATCAAAAACTGGTTGGTGGCCTGGATTTTAACGATCAAATCGATGAAAAGCTCCACAATAGATTGAAACAATTTTGTTTCGATTCCAGGATTCAACTTGTTGGACAATCTGATCGACAAGATCTCCAAAAACTGGTGATTGACGCAGATCTTACCAATCAAGTTTAATAAACGTTCGAACTGGTCGAAGTCTCCCTGAGCTGATTCAAGATGGATTAATAAGTTGGCCAAGATATTATCAATTACCAATTGCTCGTGGGTGTCCATGACTTGAGTTAATCCTGTGACAATCTCGCCCAAAACCAAGTCTTTTTCCCAGAAAGGAGTCTTGATAATAGAATCAATTATATCACCGAAATAGCCAAAAATAAGGTTCACTTCATTATCGTTCAAAAACTGGTGTATCTTGATCAATTTCACCAATTGCTGGATGGTTTTGCTCTTCAAAGTCTTCTCTAAGTTGGAGGAGGTCATCAATAACTGTCCCAAAAAAATTAGCAAGTGATCCTTGCAATGGCTCAACTCGTTACCCATGGTGAAATGTTCCAAATATTGAGTATTTGAGCTGGTGGAAATTCTGGCGATGAGTTCCAGATACGCCGTGAAGACAAAACCAAAGTTATCCACCAAGTCACGTTGCATGGATACATTGAGGGTCTCATCACTTACGTCCAACTCTGTGGCTGGGTTTGGTGCACGATACTCGTTGGAGATGTACTTACCCCAGATTTCGATCGAAAACAAAAAGCTCACAATCAGATTGAAGGAATGGATGGATAACGAGGCCACACTCGACAACAAGAGCACTGACTGCTTTGACTTATCCTTGGCCTTGACCAAGTTCTCTTTCAACTCGCCCTTGATGGTCTGCAAGAAGTTGTCCATCTGGACATCACCCAAGCGTTGGGCCAATTTCTGGACGATCACCAATGTCAAAATCAAGCACTTGGTATCGTCAGTGTCGTCGATGGAGTCGTAGGCGGGATAAAGCAGGTCGGAGTCGCTTTTGAACATGGAGACATCGTTGTGGAGGATCTCGAATTTGAGTGCGTTCCAGATTGTGAGCCAGTATTCCTCAAGGGTTTCCGTGGAGTAGTTTTCCACACACTGCAACAAGGTCTTGAGCACATCATTTCGGATGGTGGGGTTGGTGGAGGTCAACTTCTCGATCAAACTAGAGAAGGAGTCTTTAGCAAACAACGTCTGGGATGCGATACAGGCGCGAAGCTTCAACTTCAAGTCGTCAGCAGTGATCTTGTAGGGATCATTTGCTGGCGGAGTGAACGAGATGGGGAAGTAGCAGAAGCACACGTCAAATAAGTCGTTCATGAAGCTGTTGTGCAAGTCGTTGCCCTCAGGATCAAACGTGAAGGTGCTATTTATGGTGATGTTGAGTCCGAAGGATGTGAGGAGATTCCTGGGGTCCTTCTCGCCAGTAGCTAAGTGGATGAACGTCTTGACGAAGAGATCGCTTGAGTTGTGAGACTTGACCAAGTATTCGTTGTGATGGTCGTAAATTTGCTGGAGGATTTGGAACGCCTCGTGCCTGACCTTGGCCAAGTTCTTCTTGGGGTCGTACTCCTGGAGCACCTTCAACAACACCTTGTCTATGTTTTCGTGGAGAAAGTTGGAGAATTGCACGAGAAGGGAGATGGTGATCAACACGTACTGGAGGCAGATCTTGTCGTCAAACTTGTTGAGGAGGAAGTCCACCAACACGTTGATGTCCTGCTTGGACAACTTGGATTTCTGGAGCTGTTCCAAAGTGGCAGATAAGCAGTTCAACGATTTGGAGCGGATGATGTCGTTATCGGAGGTCAACGATGGGCCCAAGTTTTGGATGAATTGGAGAAGGGAGAGCTCGCCAGAGGCAAGCAAAAGCGATAGCTGGAGGGCATGGGCCTGCGAGGTTTCCAGGTCCGCCGTGCCAACCGAAGCGATGAACTGGTTAATTAGGGTGGGGACGTCGTGGATGGACATGGTGGTGGCGAGAATTTTCAGTCCGATAACGGCCAGATTATAGTTGGATTGGTACGGGCGGTAGCGACGCGGGGGGGCTACCGCAGGAAGCTAGCGAGGAGCGGTTTTTTTCTCGTGTGAAGGCTAGGGAAAGCTAGTGGTGCTAGTGGGAATTACTGGTGTGGAAAAAGTAGCACCAATGGGTTTTAGAAACTCTCATCGGGAGGTGTGAATGGTGATTCTAAGATTGTTATTTATCAGCTGGTATTTGTTGTGCTATTCATGGTAGCCCTCGATTCTGCTGTGCAGACGCAACGAACCCATGTCCCTGTCACGTGCATGCCAGTTATCAATTTTATAACCGGGGTTATTTCCTGGGCTGAAGCTTCTAACATCTGAAATTGTAGGGGTAATTACCTTGGGTCTCAAACAAGCATTTGTCTTTGTTTGAGGCTACTAGAGGCCATTTTGGAAATTTTTCACTGGGGTTCATTGACTGACCCAGGTGGTCGGAAATCGAATATTCACGTGTATATGTGTTCCGGGGTGTTTTTACCAAGTCCGTAGCTTGGTTCAGAGAAACTGCTAGGCCCAGAGCATAGGATAAAGCAAGTTAGTGCACGCATAGTATGGTCTAAGGCAATGCTAATCACGCTAGTACTGTTACCAGAGCTAGCTATACTCAGAATTCGCTATTTTTAGGAGCATGTCCCAAAGGTATCATTCAGAGAGACACTGTGACCAACGTATGCTACTCATCCTAGCATACACAGAATTATTATTTGCTCTTTGCTGTGAGCAATAGACTTGCGTTTTCACTACTGTTTGGAGCCAATCAGCTGCTAAAAAGAAAAACCTCTACTGGTGCTAAGAAGTATTTGGGTGAATACTCCTTGGGACGATTTCGCGCCAAAAACTCTCCCCCACTAAACTTCCCCCTACAACCCCAATCGACATTCGCCTCGCCTGAGGCCTCCTGAGGATGGCATGATTTCTCGCCTTCTCCGCAGTGCCGTCCATTGTCGGTCCCGTGCCCGCGATGTGCTCCATTGTTGCCCACGCTGCCTCAAGTATTCCTGCCGCCCTGCTGCCCTGCGGTCTCCAGGTGCTACCGCGCGGAACGTTCGTTTCATTTAGCGAGATCGTAGTACAACGGGATCGGTCGCCGGACGCCTCGCAACGTCAAGCCGTGGTCCATCTCGGGGCCCCCGCCACGACAGAGAGTGCCATGATGCTAGTGCCATACCAGTACGTGCTGCTGCCATCCTTACTACCATTCCAAGACATTCCACCACCATTCCAGTACCACACTACTGCCAGGCTGGTGCCAGCACCACTAATACTGTCTCGCTACGCCCTCAGTGCGCGCTCGCAGCCACTACCACCACCGTAGCGACACCACAACAACACCTAGCACCACCTGTACCACCACCTCCTCCTCCTCTATCACCTCCCTACACCACCTCTACCGCGTCCCACCTCTCCCACCTCCCCTCGCTGCCCTCCTCTGCCCTCCTCCGCCCTCTCCCCGTCCTCCTCCGCCCTCCTCCGCCCCACGCCAGGCCCCTCCTATTGTCGCATTTTATCCCTTCAAAAACGACTTCACTCTGTCACTTTGTATGCCTCCAGTGCTGATCCAGCCATCCATCGCTTGAGTATCCGTCGATACCTCCATCCTTCAGATCGGGTCTGCCATGATTGAGATCCCCGACTTAGACGACCTCGCGTCCTACTCGCCCCACTTGGATGCCAAACACGACGTGGATCATCCCGACCACACAGAGATGCCTGAGCTCGACATCAACCAATTGCCGTCCAGCCACTTCCAAAGCTCGCCCAGCATGACCAGCTACCCTCCAGTAGCTCCCTTACAACACTCTCATACCAGTGAAGCCACCCAGCCAGACGCTACCACCACACACATCGACCACCATCCCGCCTTCACATCTGTGGATGATCCTCAACTCTACCCACAGGGCTCTGGCCTAATGATAGGACCATCCTATGATCTCTCAGCAACCCCATCCAACCCCCAGTTCTCCAAGATCTCGCTAGCGCTTACAGAAGACTCCTACGACCTCAGGCCCCAGTACGTGGAATACGATACTGCCCAGGCATTGCCAGTGCACCAGGTATCGCCAGACTTGGCGTCCGTAGCCCACCAGGTTCGCCACATCAACTTGGACGCCGAAGACACCGTCGACACCTCGGGGTTGGCCCTCCAAAATGCTCCAGAAATCCACAGCAAATCCCACCCCAACCAGGAGCAGTTGATCCCCGAGGACCCCGACCTGGAGCCTCCCTACAAGTTCAATTTCAAGTTTGGTGGCGAGTCATCCACGCCTGTCAGCGAGGAGTTCTCGCTAGGAAAATCGTCCTACTCGGCCAAATTGCCCCAGGTCCACCAGTTGTCCTCGCCCATCTCACAGGTTTTTACGTTGAGCCACCACAAGGAAGATTCTCCCCAATTGCCCCCACCGTTGTCGCATTCCGCAAGCTCCATCAAGCGTCTCACTCTCGCGAACGGCGAAGAATTCAGCTCCATACGAAGAGACTTGGCCACCGACCTGAAGTCCCCAGCAGAGTACAGTCTCCATATCATATTCACCCAGTTCGTGCGCCATGCTGAGCGAAAATTGAACTTGTGTCTCGAGTACCCTCTCCTGGAAGAGCCTCCCATTCTTGATCTACTCGCGGAGGGAGTGGATCCACAGTTCGATAAGATCGTAGCCTCGTTGGGATATGTGGCCAGAAGAAAGCCCAAACCAGTCATTGACAGTGTCATGTTCTGGAGAAAATCTAAGAGCGAGGTCGCTGCCATGGCCGCAGCCGAAGTGGAGCGTACCGTAGCCACTGCGAAGTCGAGCTTGCTCAAGCTATCCAATTCCAGCGGCATTTCTCCAACAAACCCCGGCATAGCAAAGAACTCCAACTCAAATGATAGATCTAAGCGGAGTTTAAGCTTAATGAGAACCAAAAGCTTTTCCAAAATGGCCCACCGTCGTAACCAATCCACTTCTTCAGCCATCCCTTCGATCACAAGCACCCCCAGCATAAATCTGATGGAGCATGAGTTTGCTCGTCAAAAGAATTATTATGACGACCAAATTTCCCAGGCCCGTGAAACTGCCATCCAAGCAGACAGAAAATCGTTAGCGTCCATCTATATCCTTTGTCGTTTGTTGATAGAGGTTGTCAAGCAAACATCTTATGAAGTGATGGGCGAAGACTTGGAAGACAAGTTAGAAGAAATAGTCTATACCCAATTGAAGACGACCGACCCCATAAGCACAAGTCAATCCTTAGTGAGATCAGCAAACTGGAACTTGTTTGCCGAATTATTGGGATTCATGAGTGAAAAACGCTTCTTAAGTGTTAGTGATAGGTTTATTGCTGATCTCGAAAAAATATCTTCTAATGTCAAGCTTGAAGATGAACCTAGATTACATCTATTGATTCATGGAATGAAGCATTTGAAATTGACAAATTACCCGTTGGAAGTATTCGAAGAAAGCGCAGACTTCATTCAATCCCTCGCAAAATTCTTTGACAAATCCCAAAATGAAACCATCATTTTTGCATACTGCGAAGTCTTGAGCAATTTGGTATTGCCTTTAGCAGGGATCTTGACTGCAGAAGCTAACCATCCTACTTGGGTTGAGGCTATTGAGAAAATCTTTTACAAATCAGTTCAAATATGGAATGAAACAGTTAGTGGAACTTCACTCAATAAGTCAATAGCAGCCGCCAGCAATCCAGCATTATCGTTCAATTTGGCTCATGGCTCGGTTTCCACCATTTCCAACAACAATGGCTGGTCCTATGCACTTCATGCAATAACCTCAGCATTATCCGTCTCCAGGAAAGAGCTCTTCTCAGAAGTCTGGTTCAGGATTATAGAAGAAAATAGCTTCAAGCTCAAGCCAAAAGTTGAAGTTGAAGATAAGATTACATTCATCGTTTGTATGGCAAGATTGGTGTGGGTGTATCTTTACAGATTACCTGACACCTTGAATAATGTTGTCAAGAAATTAGACAGCTTATTTCAAATTCTTTTATTCAATTCTACTGCCAGCAGCAAGAAGAATCAGTGGATTATCTTTGACAATTTACTCATCAATGCTTTGGTAGAATTAATCAGAACTGTTGGATTCAATCACTTAAATTATGTGTTGGACAATGTTTTAATTAAGTTACTCAAAATGAGTTTTAATGGAACTTCCTTGGAGAACTTGTCACCAGAAAGAACTATTTTGGTGATTAAAAGTTACATGGTCATTTTGGAGGACTATGAGTTGGGTAAGAAACCCAAATTTCCAACTGATAAAGAATTGGATGCCAGAATGGGTGATGAAGAAGATTTGGAAAGATCTAAGAGGCTCAATGAGTTTCAGTTCATTGCACGTACATCGAAGAACTCCCTTTCACATGAAGAACTTTGTCGTTCTTTTGCAACACTATTGAGATTATTGGATAATCAATACGGTTGTGATATCTGGTCATCTTCTAATGCATTGTCGCCAAACAGCAGTGGAAGTGGATCCAAAGGACAATCCACCTTCTCTGCATTTCATTTCGGAATGGATTTCTCCTACCAAATGACTAAGAACTTGCACATTGAAGTCTTCGCCACTTTGATCGACTCGATTCCGTTCACCATGGTCACACCCTATGGAGACAAACTGTCATCTAATTCCACTGCTAGTGGTCCTGGAGGAATATCTTTTAAGAGCATAGTGGAAATATTAACAAGAAACTGTGTTCACTCAAATCCAAAAGTTTCATCTGCAGCAATTAAAGCTTTAAAGAAATTGGCCTCTCGGAAAAATCCAAGTAGTTTAATCACCATTTTTGCTAAGATTTCCTTCCAATTTAGTGATAAACCTGGCCCCAATTATGATTCAGACTATTTGAGCTCAGCTGAGTTCAATAAGCTCTTGAAGATCTATGTGGATCTTTTGAAATGTTGGTTAGAACAATTTAACGAATTGACAGCACAAAAATTAATGGATCACCAAGCAAATCCATTGGCTCAAGATGATGAAATGATGAACAAAGATGTGCTCAATGACTTGTATCAAATCAATTACAAGAATGATGACCTCAACTTTTCCAATGGAGCAAAATTGAAACCAGGAGATGAATTAGAATGGAAGACCATTATAACCGTTATTGAAGATGTGGAAGGTAATGGGCTTTTCTTTTTGTGCTCACAGGACTCCAAATCCAGGTACTATGGGTTGTGTATCTTAAAATTAGTAGAGCAATTCGATCAGGCCATATACAATATCACGAATGAAACGAAAGAAGACAAGGCTAGAGCACTGTCACCTGAGTCTGAATCCAGAAAGACACATTCCAGAAGCTCTTCTAAGTTTGCTGCTGACATTGGAACTAGACTTATCCATATCTTGGAAGATATTGACTTTATTGATCTCATTAAACCGTACCGGAAGGAGCTTAGTGTGCCAGAGAGAAGTCGCTTGGCCAAGCTTAAGAATAAGAAAAATATTCTTATCAAGTTAGCGGAATCAGATTACGGGATTGACTCCAAAATTTGGTTGAGATTATATCCGAAACTTCTTGATATCTTCTTTGAAAGATGTCCAATGCCTGTGGCGATGTGCAGATCTATCGTTTGTGTTAGAATGGTTCAGATGCATGAAAGAATTTTGGAAATTTCCGAAAACTACAAGAATTTTACTTCTTCCATTTTCTCCAAAACCTCATCCACGATCACTTCCACCATAATCTCAGGATCTTCAAATAAGATTCCACCTGAGATATTGATCAATCAATGGAAATTGTACCTTATTTTTGCGTGCTGTTCGCTTACTTCAACTAATGATCAAAAAATCTCTTTTCCAAATCAGCCTACCCACGGAAGGAAAAGGTCAATGCAAATGTTCATTCAGCATCAAAAGATCACTTCGGCAAAGTCTGTCTTTAAGATGGTTTTACCCTTGTTGAAATCACAACAGCCAATGATAAAGGAATCTGTGATAACCGGCCTAAGTTGTCTTAACATCAACATCTTCAAGACGTTCTTAGATAATATACCGAAGAGCGTGAATGAGTGGGAAATTCAGCTAAAGAAACGAGATCATGGCGAGGATAACTTGAGAGTTGAAACGATTCATATTTTGAGCAACATCACAACCAAGTTCAAGGCCGATCCTCAAATCTATACTGATGATTGGATGATTGCCAACTTGGTTTCAATAGTCAAGAATCTCAAAACATTCTTGTCTCTTCCACAAATTCAGATAAATATTGAATTCCAGAAATTGAGAAGATACTTTTGTATTCTTTTAGAGAATGTGTTAATTGGACTCAAGGACTCGACTAATCTTAACAAGTGGATCCCATTTGAAGCAAGAATAGGATGTTTTAACTTCTTGAAAGAATGGTGTGGTTTTGGTGAAGAAGATATCACCAATGACCGGTACTCTACTATTATCCTGAAAGCATCGAAAGATTCCTCTGGAGGCTCTAAAGATTCTTCCTCAAAGCTTATCGCCATGTTGGAACTCGAGAAGAATCTACTTCAATCTGCATCTCTTAGTTGTATGTCTATGTTGTGCCTGTTTCCTATCAAGCAAGAAATTGAGATCAATGGAAATTCAGTGGTCATGGCTTTTGAACTTAACAGCCTTATGAATTGGATCAATGCATTATTCAAATCAAGGGATTCAAAATTCCACGAGTACGGAAGGCAGGCACTTCGAAACCTTCTCACTCTTAACTTGGATGATGAAGATATCTACTCGTGTGTCATAATAGAGTGTTATTCGAATCAAGAATCTCCTCAAACTTTGGAGAGCTACTTCACCATCTTCGTTGAAGAATTCTTGTCAAGAGATCAAGATCTTATGAGCGTACCTTTCGATATATTATGCTTGGCAAACTTCTTGATTGGTAATGACAATTTCGAAATTAGATGTGCAGCTCTTAAGCTCTTGAAATTTTTGGATGCTAAGACATTCAAAAGCTACTCTTTTGATAAGTTCACTGAGTTGATCCATAGTAGGTCGAAAATTGTCTACAAGAAGGCTTTATATGAAGTGTCAAATCACTTAGCAGAGTTGGATCTTAAGGGAATCTATGACAGAATTAGCTTCATGACAAAGTACTTCAATCTTGTTGGAAATGAATCCAGGAGAGATATCTTGTCGTGCTTGTTACCCTGGGTTCAAACTGTGCAATTAAAGCACACTGATGTAACAGATTCCCCTAAAAACAAGGATTTAGAAAGTCTTTCACAACCTTCAATAATGGTTTTAAATAACCTCTTTGAGATTACAGTCAAGTTCAGCTCAAAAATTTCCAATGAGGTGGAAGCCTTGTGGGTGGCATTAGGGGATAATTCGTCGAACTTCGACATCATCATTGATTATCTCTTGACCAATTGTTTGGAAAGAAAAAATCCCATATTTGTTGAACATTCTCGTCAGATTGTTGATTACTTAGCCTTTGCAAAACCCGAACATCAACTCTACGTGATTGACAAGTTTATCGGAAACCTCCAACCAAAGGCGATGGTACCACCTACCGCTAAGGCAACAAATGCAAATGAAAGTATGCTGGACTTCCCTTACATTGCAAACTTATGGAAGGTGATTCCGTATAGCGAGAAAGACTCCAATTTTTCATTAGGACAATTATCGATGATCTTTTTGGTTGATTTGTTCATGGTACAGAACGACCAAATGTTGGAGAAATTACCTTTGCTTCTTCATGTTACATTCTCTTTGTTGGATCACTATCTAGTGATCGTTCAAGAACAATCGATTAGTTTATTGATCAATCTTATTCACTTGTTAGCTCCCAATGAATCGAAGAGTGCAGAAACTATAGAGACCTTGAGATCAAGAAACTTGTGGGTTTATGACGATTTGAACAATGATAAAAAGGGGGCTCGTACTCCAAAAACAATGGATTCTTTGACCAGAAACATTCTCACGATTTTTAAGAATCTTAGTCCAACACTACAAGATGATTGGAGCAGAGTTTCCTTGAATTGGGCAACAACCTGTGCTGTCAGACATATTGCATGTCGTTCTTTCCAAGTATTCAGATCCTTATTGAATTTCTTAGATCAAGGAATGTTGAAAGACATGCTTCATAGATTGTCCAACACCATATCAGACGAGACTCATGACATCCAAGGATTTGCAATGCAAATTTTAATGACATTGAATGCAATTACTGCAGAGTTGGATTCTGCCGAATTAATTGATTTCCCGCAATTGTTCTGGTCCTCTGTGGCATGCTTGAGCACCATTCACGAACAAGAGTTCATCGAAGTTTTGTCAACGATGTCGAAATTTGTGAGCAAAATTGATTTAGATTCCCCCGATACCGTATCTTGTCTCATCTCAACATTCCCACCAAAGTGGGAAGGAAAGTTTGAAGGTCTTCAGCAAGTTATTTTGATCGGTTTGAGATCTTCAACTTCATGGGAGGCCTCGATCAAGTTTCTTGATAAGTTGAACACTTTGAAAGATAGTGAAATAATTGGAATGGGATCTTCAAGATTGCTCATGAGTGTATTAGCCAACATGCCCAGGTACTTGCATGCTTTGGGCAAGAAGGAAATTTCAAATGAAATCGAAAACTCGGCAGTGTCTTTGAGTGATATGGCCTTAAATTGTGACAAGCCCGGATTGTCTAAGATCCTAATCTCATTATCCAAGAACAGATTCAGATCAAAGAAGGACTTCTTGGTTCAAACGGTAACCACAATCAAAAATTCTTTCTTCCCTGAATTTGAAGCCCAATCACTTGTTTTACTCTTGGGGTTTTTGTCTAATAAAATACCTTGGATAAAAATTGAAACCATGAACGTCCTTAAGCAAATTTTCCCGTTAGTCAACCTTCAAAGGGACGAGTTTATTGGGGTTGGAGCTGACTTGATATCTCCTTTGCTTCGGTTGTTGTTAACTGACTACGCTGAAACGGCGTTAGAGGTGTTAGATGAAGCAGTTGTTATATCTGGCTCTCAATTGGATAAAGATGTATTGAGAATGAGTTTGGGTAACACATCACTTAAGAAGGAATATGAAAAAACTGCAACACTTTTCGGTATACCTGATGAGAATGGTTGGGCCATTCCCATGCCAGCAGTTACTGCCTCAAGCACTAGAAATAATGTACACGCGGTATTTTCTACTTGCTTGGTCAACAATGTTGTTGATCAAGTCGAGGTGAAGAATGAAGAGGAAGAGGAAGAGGAAATTCATTTCCACATGGAAGACTATTATGGTCCTTCAATTGTTCCCGACTACGGAGACTCTTTGTCTGTTAATGTTGAAGAGCCTGATGCATCGCTTAGTAATGTGTGGGCAGCCCTTGATGACTTCGACTCCTTCTTTACCAAAGACACAGAACAGACCCCACTTGTCACTGGAAGAAGAGGTAGCATGTTTGGACCATCTAATTTTGGAGGCAATGGAGCAATCAATATTTCTGGTGGAGTTACAGGAGAGCATAATCATAGTGCATCTGTGGATACAAAGAATTCGAGTGATATTCTGGTGCCGATGGATTCAGCACCACATGTATATGATAAGAATGCATCGGTTATTCTTAACCGGAGTTTAGCCAGAACTCAATCAAATACTTCATTCAAGAGCAGCTTGGCAGATTCGATAGGAACTTCGAAGTTGGGTGAAGCAGGAAACTCAGTTGCCAGCAAGAGATCATACATTCCATTCAGGAGCAGCAAGAGTAATTTCAAGAGTAAGAATGACAGTTTCACTACCCCAGTCATTCCTATGAACTCAACTTTCGAAACCCAGAACAGCTCTACTCCTTTCAAGACTCCTAATGTGACTACGCCAACATTATCAACTTTCAACGGAAACATCAGTGGAGGTCCAAATTCGCCGGGGGCCTATCCTGTCCTGGACTCTAGTCCATATGAGCCCAATCGATTTGCATTAGGAAACAAGAAGAAGTCCAAGAGGGCCACCAAAGTGTCACCCAATGCTGGGTCGCCTGATCTTCTGTACTGGGCCAATCCTAGCTCTCCTGGTGTGACCCCACCAGCATCTACCCAATCTGGTACACCCAAGCTCAAGGAGAAGAGGAAGACTTCACAGAAGTTCCGTTGATGTGGCTATAACCACAAATAATATCTTCAACACAACGCCCATCTGCTAGAAGCAGACAATTGACGTTTTTTCACAGCTTAGCCGGCCATTTCGCTCGCAAGAATCGCATAAGTATTCTTGTTTGGAAGCACGAGGTCTTTGTTCATAGTCTATTGAGAATATACTCATTACAAAAAAAATTGTAGTCATACTCCAGTTTTTCTGTTTGTGAACCAAATGCAAAACTGTAAGCGGAATCTAACTCGCCAACCTTGACCAGCTGCAATTCAGTAAGGCAAACAGCTCATTTAGAAAGAACACAGATGCTTAGAAAGTGTGTAATATAATATTCTTCTCGATTGTGTTGTAACTCTTCAGTAGCCTAAACTAGCTGGTTTAGGCAATTATTGCTTCCCAGTAACTATGCAAAAAAAATCTCCCGGGGGTGAGTCGAACACCCGATCTCAAGATTACTCTGAGTTAACATTACAGTCTCGCGCCTTAGCCAGCTTGGCCACCGAGAGTTATTTGCGAACAGAACAAAATACACACAGTTTAGTCTAGTTCCTAATACCCATATTAATGCTCCAAAATTGCTGAAAACGTTATTTTAAACACTTATACTTTGCTATAAAGTAAAAAAATGCTCTCTTTAAGATAAATTTGATTGTTCTTCCAATGGATCGAAAATTCCAGATAATAGTTATCGTATTCATAGCAATTTTTCAATTCGCTGACGTATATCAGTGACTTGCCTCCCTCGAAAAAACTTAATTGTACTTGTAATGCAATGGAATCGCCTATTTTTCAAACTCGAAAGCTAAAAATAGGCTTGTAAATTGTACCAAACTCTTCATACGCATTGAAAAGAAAACAAAAAACTTTTTATACAGACCAATTATAGACCAGAAGCGCATCCTCTGATGTAATATGTATCCAGCAATACAGAAGATAATAGAAACTTAAGTCATTATTTACTTTCCCAAGAAGTGGAAACCTTTAAGCAAGAAAGTATTGAGCTAACAATCTACTGTACTACGCCTTTTGAGCTATGGAGTTAATTTATGGTTTCAAGATTACTAGTAAAATCCATGCAGTAGAAGTTTGCCGATGTGCAAGTACCGTCAATGAATGGGAACACATTTCTGTCACAAGTTTGAAAACAATCATATTTGCTTAGATAGTGACCTAGGCTAGGTCAATATCGAAAATATTGTTAATCGTGACTGCAAAAACATTTTACTTTCGGACAGTTGCCAACTCATTTTTTTGAAAAATTTGAGAGAAGAATTGAAAACTACAATAATCGAAAATTCACTGGATGATGAATCCTAAGCAATAGAAGTGTTGATGGATCACTATCGCACCCAGGCACTTTCTGTGGCTTGCGCTGCATAGCCGTGCCTCCGACTTGATGATTGCTTCTCGAAGTCTGTCACGTGATATACTCACATGATCTTAATCTCGATGAAAAATTCATCAAAAAGTCTTCATCGATCCAGCCAAGAGACACTAAAGATGCCACCAAAGAAGAAGCCTCAAATCTCAGATAAGAACAAGGCCAAGGCCAAGGCCAAGTCTGCCGACGACAAGGCGTTCGGTTTGAAGAACAAAAACAAATCGAAGAAGGTCCAACAGCAGATTCAGCAAATGCAAGCAGGTGTAGATGGAGGAAGACAGAAGCAAAAGGAAGCGGAAGCCGCCAAGAGAGCTGCCGAAAAGAAGGCCTCGGAAGAAGCCAAGAAGGAGGCTGCTGCGTTATTTGGTATTACACAACAAAAGGTTCCATTTGGAGTCGACCCCAAGTCGATTCTCTGTGAGTTCTTCAAGAAGGGAGTCTGTACCAAGGGCGCCAAGTGTAAGTTCTCGCACGATATTAACGTGGGTAGAAAGGATGCCAAGAAGGATTTGTACACCGATGCCAGATCTGAAAAGGAAGAAGATACCATGGATAAATGGGATGAAGAGAAGTTGAGAAGCGTCATTCTGTCCAAGCACGGAAACCCCAAGACTACTACCGATAAGGTGTGTAAATATTTCATTGAGGCCGTGGAGAACGGTAAGTATGGTTGGTTCTGGGTGTGTCCCAACGGAGGTAACGACTGTATGTACAGACACTCGTTACCAGCCGGTTTCGTGTTGAAGACCAAGGAGCAAAAGAGATTGGAGAAGTTGGCAGAGGAATCTGCGCCCAAGATCACCTTAGAAGAGTTCATCGAGATGGAAAGAGGCAAGTTGGACAAGTCCAAGTCTACTGCGATCACCATCGAGTCGTTCAACCAATGGAAGGCCAAGATTGAAGCAAAGAAGGCGGACGACAAGAAGAAGGAATTGGAGAAGGGTGGAAAGAGAGCCTTGACCGGTAGAGAAATCATGTTGGCCAAGTTTTCCGACAAATACTACACGGAAGAAGACGATGGAGACACCTTCGACTTGTCTCAGTTCAAGTCCGAGTTGCCAGAGGACTCATCCGAAAACATCAAGGACTATGGTGATGGTAGCAACGTGCAGCAGTTCTACCAGCAGGAGATCCCAGATTCTACCAAGGAGGATAAAAGTGCCCCTATCACAGCATAATTGTGTGTTTGCATATGATTTCAGGGGTTCTTCTCCATTCCAATTCGCATCGTGTATATTATTAGGTTTAGCCACAGTCTGCTAGCACAGCTAGCTATGGTTGACAAGGATGGGGCTCACTAGAGAACCTCGTCATAAAAGTATTTAGTACCGAATATTAGTACCAACCATGACTTGTTAGGGAGAGTACGAAAAGTACCAGAACTTGTAAGAGAGTTAAGGTGCGACGAATTCATTTGAAATAAGAATACAGTGAAATAGTAATATTCTTTTCAGTACTTCGAGCTTAGAAAACGAATTCCAGGCCATGGAAAAGTACGAAAATAAATGCTAATCTCCCATCGTAGTCCAATAGCAATGTACCTGACCATCACCAGATTTCTATGCGATACCTGATGGTAGACTTATTCACAATAAGTCTTTATGTTCGATATGTGATTGTAGGATGGATCCCGATTGAATAAAAAAATCAGCGTCATCATCAATAAATAATTTCAACTCTGTATTGGTGCCCTCCAAGTCTTGGATAGAGTCGACAATTTTCCGAATCCACAGAGCTCCTTTCGGATCCATTTCTTCCAAATCAAAGTAATGCTGGGTAAGTAACACGTTTTCAATTTCGTCCAAACAGCCTCCTTTACTGTGGGATGCTCTCGTAATTGTATTTTCGTTAGATGTCAAATATCCATTGGGGCTTGATTGTGTGTGTTTTTTCAACGATAATTCGGTATCAGTGTGTGATTTCATAACTGATGGCATATTTGGTTGCCTTTCAAGATTATTCCCCTTGAGAGTATTTGGCTTTTTGGGTACCATTGGTGGAAGTTTCTTGGGGGACTGTGCTGGTGCAACCATATCAGTCATATCGATCAAATCTTCCACTTCCTTCGGTTTAGGCTTCTCTGCCTTTAACATTCTTTTCTTGATTGCCAATAACCTATCAATTTCTTTGAGAATTTTTAAGTCATCAATATCGGATAAGGAATCTGGAACATATCTGATATAAATAGCCACAATCTGATTAGGGTTAGCTACTGCCAAATCCACGTAAGCCTCAAGATCGTGTTCACCCGAGTCACCAACACAGATGAACTTTTTCTTTGGAAAGTCGCCCACGATCTTGTTTAACGTCCGTTTCTTTCTGGACGACGATGGCTCCATGAGTGATGCAATTATATTACCTGTATATTGCTTTAGGTGGAAGGACCCAGCAGGGAGATTGGCAGACTTGAAGTATTGGTCGATGGTGCTGAATAGTTGCCAAGGGGAGTTGGAGACGTAATGGAAAGAAACTCCCGACTTGGTGAGATCGCAATACCATTTGATCACTGTCGGTATTTTCCACAGTGATACATCTTTGAGCAACAAATTGGTCATGAGCTCTCGCTTGTCTCCAATCACACCTGTCAATTTGATAGTATCGTCGATGTCACTGATTATTCCGAAACCATCACTAGGCATGAGTAGGATATCTTTGTATGCGAAAATGGATTCATCAGTGACTGTTTTGACATGGATGAACGATGGTTCGTATTCCACTTGCAAGCAGATTTCGAAATGGCCATTTTCATCCGTTTTTACTGAATAGGGGGTCACCAAATGTCGGTTTTTGGGATCCTTTGGACCCACAATCACCTCCAACTCAGCGTAGGGTATAGATCTGGCAATGAAACAGGCCAATCTCTCTTTGATCAAGTCCTCTGTGTTTGCCTGGGATTGAGAGGTGTCAGTGCCTGCAGATGAGCTGGAGTTGAACGTTCTGATGGACTCGTTATCGGAGTCTGGGGGAGCTGAGCCAGGCTCTAGCACATCCTGGCTCAATTTCTCGCTTTCTAGCTGGTTGACCACTTGTTCCGTGGCTTGTGAATTGTTGTTGTAGCGGGTGATCTGTCTTGCTAATGACAAGATCAATCTGTTCTTACGGGTCATCAACCCTGGGCACGAAAGCCATCCCTTGACATCCACATGGTAGGCGTTGGATTCGTACCTGGTATACGAGGGAAAGAGTGCCAACGAGGTGTCTTTTGGAAACACCAAGTTTCCGTTCTCGTCGTAGATATCACTTGGAGAGCTCTGGCCAAAGGCACGTGTGGATACTCCCGAGGCTAGAGAAGACACTGAGCCCGTGAGTCGTGGAATATAGGTATCTCTGGTGGCCTTGGCTAAGCCCAACAATCGTTGTCGTCTTGACACTGGCTGGTTTGATCCAAGCTGTTCAGCCATCCTGGCATTCCGTAGCTTCTTGTGGAGGTGTACGACAGTGTTTGGGGGCGCAAGTTTCTTGAGGGATCTGAAGTCCTTGTAGATGTCCGCCACGAGCTTGAACTTGGAGTGTTTGGCGGGAGGATTGCGCTTGAAGATCCGCTTCGCTAAGAACGCTGAGGCAAGCTTGATGAATGGGACCCTGCGACCTCTCAACTTGACGGGTGGGTGGGGGAGATACGTGGAATGAGGGAGGGTGAAGCTGGTGGTGGGGGCTTCACGTGCGATGGAGGTGTGGTGGACGGTTGGAGCGGGTGGTGTAGGTGTAGAACTGAGTGATGGTGTGGATGGTAGCGAGCGGTCGTGCGAGACTGTGAGGGCGTAGTGGGGCGTAGTGGGGCGTAGTGGGGCGTAGCGAGGGAGTAGCGAGGGAGTAGCGAGAGATTAGTGAGAGAGCAAGAGCAGCGAGGGAGTAGTGCAACTGCTGGTGGGATGTTGGCGACTAACAGTCTCACTCTGGATTCGTGTTTTTGGGATTGGTGCCAGCCTGGCTGGAGTTCTATCCACTGGCGATCTGGAAGGTTGATACAATGTACGATATTAGCATCTCATAATAAATNTCAAGAAGGGAAGAAACCCAACAATATTGTACGATTCTATTGCTATATTGGTTATTCATACAAATACGTACTAATTGAAGTAACTTTATCGTTACATACTTTGTGATTGTTCAAACTTATAAATTGAACTCTTTCACCAAATGCTGTGTACTCCGATCTTATGTAGTTTAATCCGGAACTGAAAATAAACTTCCCGGACTCCTGACAGACTGGTGGCTGCAAAACATCCCTGATGCCATCCACGGCATTTGCACAGTCTGACTAGCTGCTGACCACTAGCCACGAGGTAGCAAGAATTTTCTGAGAAGTAATAGCCCAGCTCCGTCGCTACGTCCCGGCCCTGCGCTCGCGACTTTCTCCTGGCTCGCGGGTTTCCCACGAGGTGCACTAGCACCACCAATGGATCTACCATACACTATAAGAACCCCAGCCTCTCTACCACAACTGCTCCAACAAGCCACACTCCAGCTAGCCACTACCACATCGCCCAACTACCATAGAACTCTCCCGAACCCCCACCTTCCCTCTGACTTTTACCCTGCCTGTTCCTGCCACTTCCCTCCATTACTTCTCTGTCCTGCTACCATCGTGCCACCGCACCACCACCGCGCGCCCCAGCCCCTATCCCCGCTAGCGGATCACCAGTGACCTCCCGCGCTCAACACCAATCTCCTCCAGATCACCACCATCATTCTTCCTCGCCCCCACACCACAATGGCGGAGATATCGATAGGAAACGACCTCAAGGACTCGTTCAAACCAACTTCCAAATGGATCAACAACGGCATCAATTGGCTCTCGGACGTGGAGGAGTTCTACCGGGAAAGAGCCGCCATTGAAAAGGAGTACTCCACCAAGCTCAAGGAATTGTGCAAGCGCCACTTCGACAAGAAGGCCAAGGTATCGGCACTGGTATCAGTGGGAGACAACCCCCAGGTTACGCCGGGGTCGCTTGAATCCGCCTCGTTGGTGCTCTGGACAGATGTGTTGACCCAGACCGAAGCCATTGCCGAGGAAAAGAACAATTTCCACCGGGAACTCAACTCCAAGGTGGGCGACAACTTGGTGCTATTGAAGTCCAAGACGACGCAGATCGCTAAGCAGATCGAGAGAATCAACGAGCATTTGGTGTCCGAGAAAGACAAGAGCGAAGAGGAAGTCAACAAGGCCAAAAAGGCCTACGACTCGCTCTGTCAGGTGACGGAAGGTGTACGTGAAAAGACAGAGAAGTCGGCTAGCGAAAAGTACCAGAGACGGTTGGACGAGAAGACGGTAGACATGAACAACGGTAAAAACGACTACCTCATCAAAATCAACATTGCCAACAGATTGAAAGACAAATACTACTATCAAGATGTGCCTGAATTGTTGGACTATTTCCAGGAACTCAATGAGAACAGAGTGGGCTTGGTCAATAAGATCTTGAAGAACGCAGGAATCATCGAGCGTAACTCCAACGATAAGTGCAAGGAAAAGCTACACTTGATCGACGGCACCATTAACCAAAACGAACCAAAGTTGGACACTGCGATGTACATCAAGCACAACATCGTGGACTGGAAGGAGCCATCCGATTTCTATTTCATCCCCAGTTCGATTTGGCACGACGACGAAGCATTGGTGGTGAAGGAGCCGGAGTTGACCACATTAAAAAAGAGATTGAACGAAAGATCAATCGAGTACAATAAGGTGGAAGAGAGATGCTTGGACACGAAGCAAAAATTAGAAGAAGCTACTCTCGCTAGAAAGCTGGACCCATCTGAGTTGACCTTGAAGTTCGACGGCAAGCTCCTGACTTCCCTCAGCATTTTGCACACCTTCATGAAACAAGACGGTGAAAGAGTGAGAAATGAGGTGGAGATTGAAGTTATTCAGAACTTTGCTGGTGATAAGGACTTGTCCTACTACGAAGAAGCTAGGGCAAAGAAATCTACATTCGGATTTTTAAGAAGCAAAAGCAAGAAGGGAAAGCCCACTGGTAACGGAGAAAGCGATTCCCAGTCCATTCATACTGTGAAATCTGCCAACAGCCACACACCAGGTATGTTTAGTCTTCGAAAGAAGGCACACTCCATTCTTTCTGGCCACTCAACAGATGGAGGTGATACAGCCAAGGCTTTGTATGAATATTCTGCTACTGGAGACGACGAGGTGTCAATTAGTGCTGGAGATCAGCTCTTGGTGACGGGCGAAGACGATGGCTCGGGCTGGACCAAGGTTCGTTTGGGCGATGGCTCGGAGGGATTGGTTCCCTCAACATATATAGAAATCACCAGGACTGGTTCAGGGGATAAAAAGAAGGGCCCCTCTGTGGCCCCTAAGAGAGGAGCCAAGAGGGTACAGTACGTGGAGGCGTTGTACGACTACCAGGCCGACGGAGACGATGAGATCACCATCAGTGCGGGCGACAGAATAGTGTTGATCCAGGACGACACCGACGGAAGCGGGTGGACCGAGGGAGAGTTGAATGGCCAAAGGGGCATGTTCCCAACCAGCTACGTCAAGAAGGTGTAGAAGGAAACATACATACTCAATTCTTAGAAGCGTAAAAAGAATGTATAACGAATAGACATGCTGATAATATGAGTGTAGACGCAGGGCAACTGATTCATTAGTTTTGGAAGAGTTGATAATTTCAGAAAAGAAGTTGTGTGTACTTTTCAACCGACAGCAAGAACAGAGAGTATGGATGCAGAAAGAAAACCAGCCACTTGAATGTTGAATTTTTCCAGATCTTCTTTGAGAAGAAGTATACTTGAAATTAATTCAAAAATGAACATACAAAAGAATTAATTGGCGTAGTTTGTCAAAAATGACTTAGCGCAAACAATAATTTGTTTCTGCTCATGAATCAGAATGAATTCTTCAATGCACATTAATTGACTTCAGCTGTTTGTAGCATAGTAAAAACTGAAGAACTCAAAGAAGAGGTATGTTAGTTACTTAGTAGAATTTCATGTTACTCGCTTGGAAACGTAAATAAACTTCTAGTAGTTTCTTGCCTAAATATATACTTCTGGCACCCTATCAAGACTCCTATTCCATCCTCAGATGGGTGACACCATTGGCACCAAATTAGCTAATTAATCGTCCTCGCTAAATCTGAAAATCTGGAATCTAGTACCATCTTCAAATGCTAGACACGAAGCAGGCTTGGGGCGTACTGGCACAGATTGGGTCGAGACATGGGCCCGTACTGCACATGGTCCAGATCAACATAGACGACACGTCAAAACCACGCCAAAAGCACGCCAAAATTGCACCAAATTTGCGCCAAAAACCTTTAATGCCCTGGCCCAAAGTACAGCCATACTCCTTGAGCCCCCTGTGTTCTCTGACCATGGCATTTGCAACTTTATCCCATCTGTGTAAATGAATCCCACGCCAACCTGCAAACCACTAGACGGTCGTCAGCTGATTTGCAGGTTACCCGCGAGACGTGTTTTGAAAAAATCGCCAGTATCAAAACACACACTTTACCACTTACCCTCCCGTCAAGTCTACCTCCACACCACCACCCAATTGGTACCGCGGCCCGTGCACATCGTTCCCTGCCCCTAATTGGAATCCCCACCCAAAAAACCCGTTTTCTTCACACAATCTGGCACCATGTCCTCCTACAGCTACTCAGTGGACAATAACGCCTCGTCAGCAGCATTGCGCAAGCGCAAGACCCTTAAGAAGTCCATCAACTTCTCGATCATGATCATCGGAGAAAGTGGGTCTGGAAGATCCACCTTGATAAATACCCTCTGTGGAGGCAACTCGATTGTCCCCACGTCGCTGACCATCAACCAAGACCCATTCACTAAGAAATTGACGTTGAGACACGAAAACGTGGAGTTGGAAGACAACGAGGGCCACAAGATCTCGTTGAACATCATCGACACCCCCAACTTCGCCAACCTGATCAACTGCGACGAGGACTTCAAGATCATCGTCGACTTCATAAGACACCAGTACGACGAGGTGTTGTTGGAGGAGTCGCGTGTCAAGCGTAACCCCAGGTTCAAGGACGGCAGAATCCACGTGTTGATCTACATGATAAACCCTACAGGACACGGGTTATCCGAGATTGACGTCAAGTTCATGCAGCACGTCAACAACTTGGTGAATATCATCCCCGTGATCGCCAAAGCAGACTCGTTGACCGCCAAGGAGTTGCAGTTGAACAAACAGTTGATCTTGGAGGATCTCAGCAACTACGGGATCAACTACTACAAATTCAACGAATATGAATACGAGCAAGACTACATTGACGATGAGATCATCGAGTACAACAAGTACTTGAACTCGTTGGTTCCCTTTGCCATTATCGGAGCCAACGACTACCAAGAAAACCCCAACGAAGACGAAGACTTGTTGAAGTTGAGAGTTTTGAACCCCATAAACACCAAGCCCATCAATGTGGAAAACCCCGAGGTCAACGACTTCACCATCTTGAAAAACGTGTTGTTAATCACCCACTTGAACGAGTTCAAAGAATTGACCCACGACTTGATCTACGAAAACTATAGAACCGAAGCATTGTCTGGAAAGCAATTCCAGTACAGTGCAGGCAAGGATGGCGAAAAGGTCGAGGTTACAAAGGGAGATGCTCCTGACGAAGAATCCAGTTACTTGATGAAGGAAGAACAGATCAAACTTGAGGAAGAGAGATTGAGGAAGTTCGAAGAAAGAGTCCACCAGGATTTGATCAACAAGAGAAAGGAGTTATTGGAGAGAGAAAACGAATTGAAGGAGATCGAAAAGAGATTGCTTGCTGAAGGGTTGAAGTTGAACGAGGACGGCGAGGTGGTAAAGATCGAGGAATAGGTTATTGGTTAGTTAACTTGGATGTCTGTGGACATCGGCATTTGCATCTGTAATACTCCAATATCTCGTTCAGAGTGTCTGCCAGGGGCTTGAAGAACTCAGTCAAAACTCGTGATGATGTATTCGCGTATTCTCTACACCTCGACCCGAGGCTTTTTTATACTTATATATCGTTAATTTGTTTATTTCTTGTACTGGCTAGGCACCAGCCTTGTAAATATCACCCAAGCAGGCCTTGCGGAATACCTCGAGCCCTCAATTATTTGTTTCTTCACTGTTTAGGCAGCGGCCTTGTATTTTTGAACCACTTCGTCGAACTTGGCGTTGATTTCCTTCAAGTCGATCAAAACGGGGTGGTCCGATTGGACTTCTTTCAACTCAGCCAACAACTGGGGCACATTGGCGCCGTGGTTGGTGAGATAGTCGTAGGTGATTTTGTTGGCAATGAGGTCAGCGTTGGGCTTTGGACTCAACTCCACGATTTGGTCCAACAATTCCTGGGCCTCGGGGTAGTGCTTTAACTGTATGGTCAACACGAACAACACCGACAATACCTTGAACTTGCCTTGAGGATCTTCGTTGTAGTCGGACGACAACAACTCGTCGTAGAAGTAGTAGGCGTTGCTTATGTTGTCGGACTCGCCCTTGATGGAGAGCAACCACGACTCCAAGACCTGGTAGATGATGCTGTCTCTGGTGGAGTCGGGGAACTGTTCGAAGGTGGCAAAGATCTTGTTTGCGGCCGTGAAGTTGCCTTGGCTCAAATGCAATTGGATCAACACCAAGAACACCTCCAACTCGTTGTACTTTCTGGAGCCTTGGGTTTGGGTGTATGCGGTCAAGAACTTGATGGCCTCGTCGACGTCCTTATGGAACTTGACCAAGTAGATGGCTGTCAAAACTGCCTGGAGTTCGAACTTGGCCTGCTTGACGTCGTCGAAGTAGGTGGAGTCGTCGGTTCCAAACGACTTCAAGTCGTCCCAAGCACTCAACAACTGGAACAACTCTTCGTTGTCTGGGAATTGGCTCTTTCCGTGCTCGATCAACTGGGAGGCATCCTGTTCCAAGGCCACGGTGGATCTGATTTGGTACTCCAAAACCTTCAACTGGTGTTCGGGAGAAAAGTGGCTCAACGCGTAGGCCTTGACCTTCTGGTGCTGGTTGGTGAAGAACTGGTTGCGGATGTTGTACAACTCGCCGGAGTCACTGAAGGCGTCCATTTTGGTTGTGGAGGATGTAACGTCCATTTGTTGATAAGTGGTACGTGTGATGTCGCGCGCGACACGGTGTATGGTAGCGCGGGCCATAGAGTAGCATTTTGAAATGAGGTCAGTTAGATGGAATTAGCTACTTATAGCTGCTAATGGTTGTTTTTGGGATGAAGTATAAATTCAATTGGATTTACAGGCTCACGGTGGTGTAAATTTTGTTGGGGTTTTCTGTATTCAGCGATGATCGTGCAAATAGTAAAAGATAGATTGAAAGTAGAATGGGACTAAATCTGGGTTATCACATTGAATTAATAGTGCTACAGGTTTATCTTTTGAAGTATAAAAGTCTCCATATATGGATTTTTGTAATTATCCTTGTTTTGTACTTCCCGTGTAATTGAAAGTTCCCATGGTGTTACTTTGTCTATTGACTTAGTGACATATTTACGATAATATTCTAACGCCATTTCTTGTGTCTATTCTAATAGTCTGATTATTAGGATGGGTGGGTGTCGGTTCTTGGACCTAACACTAATTGTATCAGTGATTTTTAGTATTCCCAAAATAAATTCGCAGTAGATATTCTAGGAGTTCATTCGTTATAATATTCACGGTGATTATTAGTCTTTCTGTCCGAAAGAGTACTCAATTTGTCTTGAACTTGAATGAACTGTAGATTTTTATACATATGTATTCGTTCCAATACGGTAGCTGCGCTGCTCATTCGATAGCAGTACATACTCCCCCGATACAAGTATCTCGTAGAATTGTCATATAGATTATGGATATATCAGACTTCTCGCAAGTATATGATTTATTAACGCCGTGTTTATGCACTGAAACACGATCAAAGTCACCCCACCGTTTTGGTCCTCAACTCAGTTCTTGGACCTGCCACGAATGGCATCCCAGGCAGACTTTGGAGCATCTGAGGCCTCCAGGGCCTCCAGCTCGTCACCCAAGAGCACGTCGCTGGACTCTTGTTGGTCATTAACGGGCCTGCTGGTCTGGGGCTCCGTTTCAAAGCCATTGGCCCGGCGGACTTGGTCCCAGTGAGATTCGCCTGCTGGTCCCTTTGGCTCGGGTGCGTTCTTGGGAGGATGGAACCGAATCTCGTGCAAGGTTTGCTTGGTCACGGTTCGTGGGTCGGGAATGAGGAAGCTGGGGTCCTGGGCAGTCTTGCGGAAATACACGTAGAACATGCCTGCTTGGTGGTAGTCCATGGCCTTCCACAAGTCAGCCTGGCGCTGGTTGGGGCCGTCCTCCAACGCAGCAATCTGACGGGTGAACTTGTACTTGGCAGTCTGCTGGTTGACCACCATCAATGAGGTAAGTCCAAGCATGAACGAGAGGAACGGCTTGTGAAGACGAGGCCTCAATGGTGACAATTTGGCGGCATTGGCCGCTGGAATTGGCTGGATGTTGCGTGATTTGGCGTAGAGGGTGGGCGCCAACAGGGCTATCACTGAGGACCCGAGCCCAAAGAGCGTGGAGGTGGTCAAGGTGGAGAAGAGGTCGTTTGCAATCTGTTCACGGTCGGAAGGCTGGAGGCGCTGGTCGGCCTCGTAGAACTTGACACTGGCGTCGAATTGGGCGGGACTGAGCTTCTCCAACAAGGGGTTCTCGTTGGAGGGAGTTTGGGAGCTGGGAGACGAGGACATGGTGGTGGTGCCTCTGGAGTGGTGGTGAATATGGTGGAAATTGTGAAACTGCGCGAGATTGCGATGGTTGCTGCGCGGTAGCGAGGGCTAGGGAGAGACTGAGGAAAAATAGCGATGCTCGCACGGGAATCGGCTGCGAAACGGCTCGGCCAGGGAGAGCTGGCGGCAAATAGTGCGAGTATACCACGCAACACCGTCATGGCCGCGAGAGCTTCTACCGCCACCGCCACCGCCACCGCCACCACCGGTAAATATGCTTTAACGCCTCAATCTTTCAGTTTCAACTATCTTTGATGTAGCTACCTCGTTATCTCAACCTTTCATGTAAAGTAACAGATTAAATGAATAGCTATTGCATTGAAAATGACGGACTACTCTTTGTTTTAGACTTAGTATACTTTGTTATTCCAGCTCAGTATGGGACTTTTGAAATATCCTTACTTCAGTGCTCCGAGACCATGTTTCTCTACACTCCGTTCGGGTTTCTGATTACCTCACTTCACTCTCTGAGAACACGCCTGTCTTCGATTTTTCACTGATTGAGCTTCCACTCTTGATCTCCAGATTGCTCACTTTGAACCGCTAAAAAGGTCATCTCATCACTTCATCTCCTAACAATACAACCACGTCACTACTTTCAAACACCCTTATCTACACTCGGTTCGGACTTCTAAATTACACTATACACACCTAGACCAACTTGTTGTCTCTTCTCTTTTCGTCTCTCAACTTGACCAATTGCTCAACCACGTCGTCGAACTTGACCATGGCGTTCTTACCTTGGTCCTCTGGAATGTCTCTGTTTCTGACATTGACACTGTTGGACTCTTCTTCTTCAGCACCAACAATGAAAATGAAGTTGTACTTGTAAAGTTGACCGGTTCTAACCTTCTTGGGCAAGGTGTTACCGGAGACATCCACGTCGGCGTAGAAGAAGTGATCGTCGTTCAACTTCTTCTGGAGCTTCTGGGCGTAGTCGTAGTACTTTGGACCAACTGGCACAATCAAAATCTGTCTAGGAGACAACCAGAAGGGCCACTTACCCTTGAAGTGCTCGGTCAAAATGGCGGTCATTCTTTCCACAGATCCCAAGATGGCTCTGTGGATCATCACAGGTCTGCCCACGGCATTACCCTTGTCGTTGGTCTCGGCCTTGTATTCCAACTCGAAACGGTTTGGCAATTGGAAATCCAACTGGATGGTAGCACATTGGAACCATCTGTTCAATGCATCACTGATCTTGATATCGATCTTGGGGCCGTAGAAGGCACCGTCGGCTGGGTTCAACTCCCAGTTGCCCTTACCCAAGAAGGTGTTCAAGGCACTTTCTAACTTGGCTTCAGCGTTGTTCCAAGTTTCCAAGTCTCCGACGTATTTTTCAGGTCTGGTGGACAACTCCATCTTGAATTCGAATCCGAAAACACCGTACACCTTCTGCAAGAAGTCAAACACACCAGCAATTTCGGTTTCGATCTGGTCGGCAGTACAGAAAATGTGGGCATCATCTTGTTGGAAACGACGGACTCTGGTCAATCCGGATAAAGCACCAGAGAACTCGTTTCTGTGGATGACACCAAAGTCGGCAACACGCCATGGCAATTCACGGTAGGATCTTTCTCTGGACTTGAAGAGCAAACAGTGGCCAGGACAGTTCATTGGCTTGAGACCAAAAGTCTCCTTTTCGACCTCGAATGCGAACATGTTTTCCTTGTAGTTGCCCCAGTGACCAGAGGTTTCCCATAACTTGGAGTTGTACATGTTTGGAGTGATGACTTCGTCGTAGCCTCTTCTTCTGTATTCGGTTCTCAACATTTCACACAAGGTGTTGTAGATTCTGGTACCGTGAGGCAACCAGAAGGCAGAACCAGGAGACAACTCGTTGAACACGAACAACTCCTGCTCCTTACCAATCTTTCTGTGGTCTCTTTCGGCGGCTTCAGCCAAGAACTTCAAGTGGTCAGTCATCAACTTCTTGTCTGGGAAGGAGATACCGTAGACTCTTTGCAAGGAGTCGTTGGTGGCATCACCCAAGAAATATGACGAGGAGTTCTTCAACACCTTGAAAGCCTTGATTCTGCCGGAGTGTGGGATATGAGGACCGACACACAAGTCGATCAATGGGCCACATCTGTACACGGTGGTGGAGGTTCCGTCAGGGATCTTGTCGCTGATGAACTGGACCTTGTACTTGTTGTAGTGGAACATCTTCAACAAGTTTTCTTTGGAAAGCTCCAATCTCTCGAACTTCTGCTTTTCCTTGATGGCCTTGGTGGCCACCTGTTCCAAGTTAGCAAAGTCGGCCTGGGAAACCGCGGTTTCACCGTAGTTGATGGACATGTCGTAAAAGAAACCGTCGTCGGTGGGGGGACCGTGCGACAAGTGGCATCCGTAGTGACATTCACAAGCCTCACCCAAGATATGGGCGGACGAGTGCCAGAACACCGCCTTACCCTCAGGATGGTCGAAGTCAAGGAACTCCAAGTTGGCGTCGCCCTCGAAAGGTCTGGTCAAGTCCCACAACTGGCCATCGATCTTGGAAATCACTTGTCTCTCGGCAAACGACTTGCCAATGCCAGTAGCGATGTCCATGGGTGAGGTCTTGTAGGCAGTGGCTTCCTTGGTAGAGCCGTCCTTCAAGGTGATGGTGATGGGCTTGCGTTCTCTGGACGCGATGTCAGCGTCGTAGAGGGCCTTGAACTCGTCGAACATCTTAATACGGTGGTCGAGGAACGCTGGCTGGGGGTCCAAGTACAATGGGTTCTTGGCTTGGGAGGCAGCCTTCTTGTCCTTTCTGGACTTGCCCTCGGACTTTGGCTGGTTTTGCTGGGCCTTTTGCTGGGGCTTGTCGTCCTTGACGGACAAGGCTTCCACCTTTTCGTTGATCGCTTCCACTGCTGCCATGGTTGGACCGTAGGATGGGGGTATGGGGTGGAGAATAGTGATCTGGTGTATCGGTTTAAAAAAATTTCGGACACGGTGACTCAGTTAGTGCTGAGAGGTACGCTGGGGGCCCAGGATTACGCGGGCTGCGAGACGATAGTGCGGTATGAGACACATAGGACATGATAGTTGTAGAGAAGAGTAATAGTCGTAGCGAATTGAGAGTAGTGCAATGGTAGAATTGGGAATAGTAGTAGGGCGGTGGTGCAAAGACTGCCATAACTATTAGTAGTGGTGCTGGTCCACGAGAATTAAATTACACTAACCAGCGAAGTATCCCTCGCTGGTGCACCAAATTACACGCCAAAAATTAGTGATAGCCGGTACGCCATAAAATTCAGTACTATTCGGCTGGTCCACAATACTACGCCATAAAAACACAGTAATACTCCCATTGGCCCTCAAAATCCTTCCTGCAATATTAGTCCAGGTAATACTCTCGCTTAGCCACGATACTACGCCATAACAATTAGCGATACACCGGCTAGTGCACCAAATTATAGTCAGACCGGCTCACTACAATTAACAATTAACTTACGCCACAACAGTCTCTATCACTCCCGCCATGCTCACGCCACCCACTTCCGGCACCACCACTGACTTTCCCGTGCTGGAGGTGCCCGTGCTGCTCCAAATCAAACAATTGCACCAGTTGATGGAAGACCACCACGCGCTTATCGACCAGCGCCTAGAGGCCTTGCAGGCGCTAGGCGCCAGAATGGAGTCGTTGCGCCCTTCCACCGTCCTGGAAGATGCCCTGCCGCTCGGAATGGCCCACTACAAGTTGACAGACTTCTTGGTCAAGCTAGAACGCCAGTTGGAGCCGCCCAAGCCTCCACCCCACGATGCCTACTCGGCATCGCCCCACGACTTGAAGCGCAACAGGAGGAGAAACAACGGCTCTGCGGCCAACGACAGTTTCCGCTACGACCACAGCCCCTACCAGCACACCGAGCGGGACCAATCCATCAACAACACCTACGAGTCTCTTACCTCGGATCGCGACGCTAGCACTCCTGGCGAGGCGGTGGCGTTGTTGCAGACGTACTTGGACTCGATCTTGAACATCATAAAGCCCAATCTCAAGAACAACTTCTGTGAGGTGGTGGAGGCTACTGGCGAGTTGGTGGCTGCGACGCCCATGAACACCGTGAACGAGAATAACATGAACGAGTTGATTTCGCTGATCGAGAGCACGATCGGGGCATTCACCATCTAGAATTGGTCATAGGATACTATTAGTGCTATCTAAGTCGATTGAGCCTTTACTAGGGTCGATTGGGACATTAGTTTCTTTACACCCCAGTACGACTGAGTGACCATATTAACCGAAAACACTTTTGGGCCTCTAGTGCCGGATGTGCACGATTGGGCCGGTGTCAGACGAGTACGGTGTGCTTTGACTATTTTAATCCCGAAGTACGATTACCATCGTTCGATTGAGTATTTCTAGCACGAGCGTACAATTGTGCTTTGCTAATTAGGATCAGATTGTGCCTTGCCATCTAGGTCCAGCCATACTATTGGGCCTTACTATAACGAAACCCGATTGAGCCTTCTTTTTCACGAGAAAATGATGGAAGCTTTACTATCTAGGGTAAAACGTGCCTCGCCTTACCATAATCATACGTACGATTGAGACTGCTATCTGCACACGAGAGCTGGTTAGCATGGATCTAAGTTCGGACAATCGAGTCCTATCTATTTCAGGCGATTTGTCTACAATTGCTAGCTGTGCTACAATTTGGTATTTCACAGTTATTACTAGAAACCGGATACTAATACTTTGTGGTTTGCTGTGATTGGGTATCCGTATGCTGAGGACCCTCTGGTGACTAACACCACGGACCATAGAAGAAGTGGCGAATTATGAAGTGATAAAGTAGAGTGGATCTAGTGGGTGGAATTACCTCAGAAGACCGAGAGGTGCAATGAGTAGTGTGTCGTATGGATCCTTGGGTCTGGGTGGACTACTGATGCCATATGTGGAATGAGTACATTCTTCGACATCAAATCCACTATTATTATTGCAGATGCCCATCACTATTTGATACATCTGAGCAGCCATAACATATCTACAGCTACCTGGCAATGGAGTGCAGCAACTCGCTGATTGTCCAAGCGTTCTGTGATGAGGAGAGCAGACTCTCGAGGAACACTCCACCCGAGGAACACTCCACCTGAGGTGAGCACTCCCAGAACCCACTTCAGTGCACCAGAACCTCTGATAGTAATATCTATCCGTATCCTCAGGTTCAGCAAATTCGACTTCCTTCCCTCTCTACACTCCTTCTCTTAGATATTTATTATGTACAAGTATGCAAGCTAGCTAGTCTAGCAATACAGCCAGTTCTCACCGTAGACCCCTAAAACGTCTTTGGGGCCAACGACACGATCTTGTTGAACTCCAACTCTCTCAACTCCTTGGCCACAACCGAGGACACTCTGGTTCCCAAGGGATCGCCACTCTTGTTGACTAACACGCAGGCATTGTCATCAAATCTGACCACCGAGCCGTCAGGTCTTCTGAAAGGCGCTCTTGTCCTCACCACAATGGCACGGCATATATCTCTTCTCTTAACACGGTTGTTGGAGGCCTGGCCAGTGATTTCTGTCTGTAAAGGTCTGGCTTTCTTGACGACGACGGTGATTTCGTCACCGACTTTGGCGAAGTTTCTGGGCCCGTGGCGCAACACCTTGATGCACTCCACCACCTGGGCGCCAGAGTTGTCGATCACGTTCAACAAGGTCTTCAAGTAAATCATGGTGGATGGTGTTGGTGGTGGATGTGAAATTTTTCATTTTGGCCTGGCCTGGGTGCAGGACACAATCTGGCTGCGGTTCCAGTGAGCATCTGGTGGTGGCAGCATGGAGGCACCAACACTCAGTAGCGAGCGGCGTAGTGCCCAGAGTGACTCCAGTACTAGCTCCCGGCGTGACCCAGCACCACTCTCTAGGACTACCCTCCAGTAGCACTCCCAGCGCGAGCCAGCACCACCCAGCACCATCCTCAGCATGACCCTCGCTATGCTTCGCACCACCACGCGCCAGCTCCCACCACGGAGTCTCACCACCCACCACTTCTCCCGCCACCTCTCCCAGTGGCACGAGTCCGACATCACCACCGACCGCAAGTCCCGCTTCCAGGCACGCCATGTGCCGTTGGCGCTGGCAGCAGAGATTCCCGCCATTCTAGCCACGTTCTTGAAACTCCACAAGAGTGCCTCCAAAGCGTCCCACCCGCACATCATCGCCTGGAGAACCGCCACCAGTACTGGCACCAGCACCTACACCAACGTCCAGCAGGGCTACCACGACAACGGCGAAAAAGGTGCCGGGATCAAGCTCCTTGACCAGGTGTTGGTGCGCCATGGCGTGTATAATGTGTTGGTGATAGTGACGCGGTGGTACGGCGGCAGTCCGCTAGGGGGACTGCGGTTCCGCCACATTGTAGGGGTGGCCAGCGAGAGTCTCCGCAAGGGAGGGTATCTAGGCGGGAAATAAAGTGGATAGAGTGGCTGGCCTTTGCAGTAATTTCTAGGTGAGGTCTCCCAATAATTATTTCCTGACTACAACGAAGTGATTCTGGCGAGGAAGAGGATTCCAGAGTGCTTGGCCACTCAAAATATTCATATTGTCTGGCCATTTACAAAGATAGCGTGTGTGCCCTTGACAGAAGGTCTTGCTATTTCGGGCCGTTCTCCTCGATTATTTCCTGGCCATGAAGAAATTCTGGCGTTCTAAAGTGTTCTAAGTGACATGCGGGACTTAAAAGGTGGTAATGGATTATCTGAGCCATTGAGCAATATCCAATGTTTTCGCTGTTCTCGGTAAGCTATCACCAAATCATATTACAATTATTGCCTGCCACACCCACAGAAATATTTCTAGTGATTTCCAGACCCCGTTGTTGGAGTGTAAAATCACAGACGTGGGCAAGTAACACCTTGTCATTGGGCTAATTCGGTATTGCAGTCTGTTGGTTTCAGCCTTCCTAACCCAGAATGGGCACTCATCTACTCAAAAAGAACCTTCTCAAAAGAATTCAGATAATTTGTGGGATTAGAGGCAAACAACTTCTGGTATTACAGGCACTTCAACAGCAGCAATGGGTCTGAAGATTGACTGCTCTGAAAAATGACTGTGCCCGCTGCTCATTTACGCTGGAACTAGTCTTTTACACTGAGTAGTGAATCAACGACTGATCCTTGCATTCCAACGCTCAATCTTCTCACAAATCTCGATGACACCCATTGAAATGGATAGACATCCAGTAACAAGGCACTACCACTACACACAGACCTAGAAATATTCAATACCAAGAGTGCTCTAGCATCCACAGTTGCCGTTCCACGACCTCATTGGTAGCCTCCTGCTCTACCTACCAATTTTGCAATCGGACCCTGCCTGTACGCAGTCCCCAATTCTCGAACATTTGATCTGCCCCACCATCCTATACTTCACCAATCCATGCCCTCCTCGTTCAACAGAACACTCAGCATCGCCTTCCTCGGCGTGCTTGCGCTGGGATGGTGGCAGACCATGACGCTCGAGTTGCCTCCACACTTGGCAAAGGCCGGCAACTTCCAGTTCTTGACCAATGCCAGCTTGACAGTAGCCACCCTCTACTTGATAGTCAACTTGGCCAGCCCCAATGCCAGGGTGCTCACACCCTGGCACCATCTCGTGTCTAACCTCGAGTTCGTGGTCACCACTGCCTACTGGACCATGATTTTGTGCTTCCCTCACCACTTGAACACCGATTCGTTTGAGTTCGATCTTGCCTTGGACCTCAAGATCCACTTGTTGCCGTACGTGTACCTTCTTTTGGACAGAAAGCCCATGGTGTCGTTCGTGCGGTCGGCTGCCCAAAGCGTGGCGTTCATTGGAGTGTACTGGGCAGCCATCGAGCTCCATGTCTACTTGAACCAGGATGGTATCACCCTGTATCCGTACCCACTCTTGAACGGAATTGGGGTATGGGGACGCTTGAAGTGGATGGGGGTGTTCATGGGGCTCTCTGTGGCGAACTACCCGGTGGAAAGAGCGTTGCATGCCATACTTCAGTATGTTCGTGGTGTATAGAGTATAGAGAATATATTAGATTGTTAGATTGTGGTAGAATATTGGGTGATAGAGCTCTGAGAGGACGTTGTCCTCTGGAGAGAGTCTTGGGAAAAGCTGGCTGGGTACTTCAAATGGTCCTGCTTTACCTTAAATGCCGTTAGTTATTGGAACATTGTCTCCAGCGGTTTCTGTAGGTTGACGTTTAGCTAGTGCTATTTATGGTGGTTAATGAGTCTTGTATTGGGATGGGTAGACTAAAACCTTGCTTCGTCTCGTCATTCAACGGGAATTCCATTTTGGAATGAATCTGTTAGATGTTTAAATTGATCATAAATATCTGCCTTACTACCATACTCTATCTGGGGTTGGATCGGTGTATAAATAATAATACTTAATTAATTCTTAGTTGAAAGAGTTAGAGTGGGTTGGAATTTTAATGGTGTCATTATTGAATTAAAGGGTGAGTTCACGGTAGTAAGGGTAATCTTGCATTAGTTTACTTGAACGAGTACGTTGGACCAATAGTGGTATTTCGTTAATTTGACTCAACAAGCGCTTCATGTATCGGTACTTTAGTAGTGATGTAAATTTTGATTGAACAAACACTTTGATATTTCAAGAGTAATTTTTCATAATAATTCAACAGACTCCTACGATGAACAAAGAGAGCATGATTCACCTACTTCCTGTGCCCAAAAATTTGGAGCTACATTAGCCGAATAAAAATAGAACACGTATATGGAGCCAGTTGCTAAATCATCCTACTAGGACCTCTATTTGGCTGTGTAATATATAGGCGGATGTGAAGGGACACGAACATCGAGTGAGAGATGGTAGCCATGGAAATGAGCTGTCTCGCTAGCATATCTACGACTTCCTCTTCCATGTCTTCACTGGAGCCTCTTGTGGTTTCCTCTTCTTTGGAATCTCTATTCCTCTAGTGGTTTCTTCTCTGCTGAGCCCCAGCCTTCTGTTTGGCACCCATCCTTCCCTCTACTGGTTCTTCTTTGCGAAGCGGTCAATGGCCTCGTCTGCCTCCTCAGTCTTGCCCACGATCCAATCATACAACCCTTTGAAAATCAAAAACTGGAGGAACGCAACCCCACCAACCACAATGAACACAAACACCCGTTCGGTTTCGGTCTCCACGTTCATGAACACGTAGGGGTAGGCAGCACCGTTCTCTACGTCAACCAAGACCTTCAAGAGGCCGTAGTAGGCAGAAGATAAGAACACCACCAATCCCAAGGCTGTGGACGTCTTGATGGTCCATCTGGGCATGAACACCAAGTAGTCGATCAACAACGATACCACAGGCATCAAATGGATGGCCAAGTCTACGTGGACGGGAATGTGGAGAATGCCATCTTTGGCCAACAACTCAATGAGAAACAACCGCAATGGCCAGTAAACCATTGCCACGATGCTCTCAAGAGCCAACCCAACTGGGTGGATGGTGTTCTTGAACTGGAACAACGCAGGGGAATGGAACAAGTGGGCAAGAACTCCCACCCCAAACACCACCAACGAGTACACGAGCGACAAATTTGTCAAGAACTGCCAGTTACCAGCCTTGACCAAGTGGTCGGGGAGCTGGGCGTTGATTATGTTCTCATAGAGGCCATAGGAGCCGACAGCAAGCGAGAGGACGTCGATCGCGAGGATAGCCTTGTTTCCGACTACTCTGGACATGTGTGATAGGGACAGTAAGGGTACTAGTAAGACACGGGAAGTGTAGACAATGATAATGGTTCTAGAATGAAGGAGCAGTGCCAATACAGTGCCGTGGTAAGTACTGTGAATAGACTGGTGGTAGGATCAAAGAACGTGTGAAGTACCAGCAACTGGCGTGGAAAGACTGAAATATGTGAAAAGCCTCAATTCGAGGTGAATGAGCTACTTGGAGAAAGGAAAAGAAATAGCCACGAAAGTCTACTGTAGCGAAATGAACGTAGCGCGGATGGCCTGAAGAAGTACTAATTTCCACCGTTCATGTTTCGTGGATGATTTACGGTCGACGAAACGTTTTATCATACATGTAGAGATCGGCACCGGAACATGGAGAGTGCGACGGTGGCCCGAAGTGAGCCAGGTTGCGATCGGTATGACCAGCAAAATACCCCATTATAAGGCAGGCTTATAGTGTGCGATTCGTGGTAATTATGGTCTTGGTGGACTAATGGAGACGAAATAACCGTACTTATCCTCCGTGAATAATCCCAATTAAGCTATATCCATTTTATGCTCCATTTGTATGGATTCAAGAGCATAATTATGTTACTGAGGTGATTGAAAATTTGGTTTAAATATAGTCAAATTATTGTGAAAGAGTACGTATGATTTTTTGGCATTTATACTTTACTGTGAAACATTGCTGGAACAGGTGGAAGTTGCAATTAGTGGGTTAATCCGGACGGAAGAAGTTTTAGGTGCAAATTTGGTTGCTGAGCCATGTTAGACGGCGAATAGTAAAAATAAGCAGTAATTTATACTCTTGGTGACAGAAACTATACGGAGCTCTATAAAAGTGGTGTTTACTGAGCTATTTTATGATTCTACGCTGTCAGGTCTAATTCGAATGTGAGTATTTAGTGGAGGGATTCGATGTTTCTTTCAGTGACATTGTTAGGCCCATGGCATCTGAACAGTTAGCTTAGTTAATACAAGGATATTATATAACACATCCTAATATACATTATTTAATTCTATAACATCTCTGTAGTATAATCGATTTATTGTAATTGGCTTATTGTAGTCGATGTTCAGACATTTACAAAATTAGTTTCACAGATCCCACACGTAATTCTATGAACAGCTTTTTTTGGTGGTAGCGATCCGTATACTGGGGAATTTTTATTCCGTGGTGCAAATAAACTGGCTTAAAGTATATCAAGCCGTGAGATAGCCCAGGAAAGAAGAGTAAATATCAATGCCCTGATATTAACCCGCGATATCATCTGAATGCGTTGCCCCTATGAGGTCACTACAATAATTCTATGCAAAAGGCCGTTAGACCCGATCAAGGAAGATTGTCTATAGAACTGAAGGCTTGGTGGTGGTGGTGGATTTTATGGAACTTTCAGAGAGTAAGAGAATCTATAGAACTCGGAGTAAGAATTTTGTAGAACTCGAAGTAAGGGATTATAGCACCCTGAGATTCTAAGAGCTCAGTGACGAGGGAGACATCTAAAATTTGAACTGACCACAGTGGTAGAACTAATGGCTGTGAGTGACTAGTGATGGAAGAATTTGGCAAACCCGCTGGTACGTGGCTTGGAGGTGGATCGCGAAGTAGACCTTGACGTAGACCGGGAGTTGGACCGTGACGAGGTGTCGGCGGAGGAACGACCACGCTCGTCATCGGGACGACCTCTTTCGAGGGTTCTATCGAGGCTAGCAAGGTTGGTATGAGAGCCTCGTTCCTGGGCCAACGACGAGAGGTTGGTGTAGGAGCTCTGGCGAGAGGTGCTAGGACTGAGAGGGTTCAACTTCAGCATGCGCTTGGACTTTTCCCGAGGCATGATGGTGGTGTCGATGGCCAGAGTGAGGTGGAGGAAGTAGTCCTCCGAGTCGATGGGATGTTCCAAATACTCGACGTGGTGGTATGTGGGCTTGACGATGATGACAGGGACCAAGGCACACTCCAAGAAGTGCTTGGAGATGGAGGCCTTGGACAAGAACGACTTGTGGTAGTCGGGGTTGGCGTGGTGGGTGCCGATGCACATCATCTGGGGGTTGTACTCGTCGATGGCCTTCTTGAGCAACTTCTGGGGCTTACCAATGACCACCTCGAACACGATCTGGACCTTCTTGAAGTGGGTGTTCAACAGCTCGATGCGGTTCAAGGCCTTGTTTGCCTGGATCTTGTCGATTCTGTCGTGATGCTTCTCGTCCAACACCTGGAGCACGATGATGGTATCTCCGTGAATAACCATCTCGTCAAACAACCATTCGATGGCACGGATGGACTCCTGGTCGTTGTTGAACCCCGAAAGGTACGTCTTGTTATTTCTGCGGAACTTGAAGTGCGGATGCTTGACCTTGATGGTAAAGGACCTGCGATGGTCGTCTGTGGAGGTGTCGAACGACACCCCTCGTTCCAACGAGCGGAGCCGCGATAACGGAGGTCTGACCAAGTTGGTGGATGACGACGACCGTGACGAGAGCAAGTTGGGGGTGCTGGAGCCGCTCAATTGCGTCAACTTGGCCTGCAACTGCTCGGACGACGCGGAGCCTGCGACGCCCAAGGTGCCCAAGAGGCCACCATCACCGACAGGCGACATCAATGGGGTGTCTGCGCCGGACTCCGAGTCGTAGTCGTCGTAGTAAAGCCGTCCTAAGAGGTCGGACGAGTTGTTCTCCTGCTTGTATAAGTCCACGGTTTCGGAGCTGGTGCGGTACAACATGGCGTTGAGCTGGGTGTTGTGTTCTGTCTCGGGGTCGTCGATGTCCAGCACCTTCTTGCGAGGCTTCTTGTCGTTGGCAGAGGGGTCGCTGGTGTCACTGGCGTCTTTCTTGGAGTGGGCGTCATTGCCGGAGCCGTCGTGGTCGTCATGGTCGGCTTGCTTCTTCTTGCGCCTGAGCTTGGGCGGCTCGTATCCTACGTTCACGGGATACATCTCTGGGTCAGTTGTGGAGGTGTAGAGCAGCCACCAGTGGTTCCCCAGAATCGTGGTAGTGAGATCAATAGCGGTGGGTTATCGGGTCGTGCGCGGGTTGGCCCAGCCGTACGGGGCGGCTGGGCGCGGTAGTCTAGGGAGGTGGAGGGGGATAGGGTGTGGTCGCTGGGGGCATAGCTACGGTGGTCTATAGTTTTGTGGGTAAATTTGGTGGATTTACGGGAGGCTGGGAGCCTGGGCAATACATCCTTGCTACCATGGTCTGGCTGGGGTGGTAGCGAAGGCTATTCGTTGGTGTGTTCTGGTGACAGCCTGTCGCGAGAATTGCGAGAGTCGCACGGCGCTGCGCGGCGGGGGCGGGCTGGCGGTCTTGGCCGGGATGCCTCTAGCGGGGGCAGTCACTGGGACTACCGAGGCGGGGTGAGGGGCACCACCCGTGGCGTTGAGGAATGGAGAAGGAGATGGGAATACGGTGAGAGGTCCTACGGTGAGAGGTCCTAGGGTGAGAGGTCGTACGGTGAGAGATTGCACCAGATTGGTTCTAGAGATACTATATGAAATTACACTGTAAGATTAACTAGACATTTCGTAGAATGGAAATATTGATGTATCTCTCGATTACTAGGGATAATATCACCATAGATGATATCGTTAGAGGTGAATTTATTAGAGAGGATATCTTGGAGTTATTCTCAAGATGTAACGTTTTTACTGGCTTTTAGGATTTTGTCCAAGTGTCATTGAGTGGCATCAGATGTACCGAAATGATTAATTGCTGATTTGTAGCTTTCATGACTTTGGTATCTGCCCACCATAAACGTATCCATCTTGGCAATGGCATCTTAGAGCAACATAATTTAAGACAAACCCAATCTGTTGACCTATTTTATTGCATCATAATTAAATGCATTACGTTGTCGTACTGGATAGAATCGGGAGTAGCTGGGTTATAACGTTATTCTACAATCCTCCTGGTGAGAATAAACTGCACTAGTGGTACTATCAGTCCCTGCTGTGTTTTATCTGCCAATGGCTGCTTTTTAATTTTCCCCCGGTCTTATTTTCGATTCACAACTAGAGTCCAGCAAAATAATTTTGTTAACTTATCTTTCTCGTTAGGTGCTTGATTTTGTTTTGAAGTAAGGCAGTTATCTGGCCTTTTTGTAAGGATCTTATCCATAAATGTCAAAAATATTGATTTACTGGCATTTTTGTTGTTAGCTTGATTAAAAATGTTTCTCGTATCTTCAACATGTCTTCTTATTCAAATAAGTTATCACACTCCCAATATAATACTCTAGTGTAGGCTCTGAATCCCTAGTTACACACTTGTATTATACTCCTGTTAACAAGAAGTAACATCTGTAGGTATCTGTAAAGTATATTGCCCAGGAGGGTCAAACTGAAGTTGGCTGCGAAATAAGCACGCATGGTTTAATTCAAGCCTATTAGAAGCAAGGGAATCCTACCTTTTTAGAGGCTCATTTCAGTTCTACTTACTGTACCCTTTAAATCTATCAGTTTCTTTCTGCTTCATGTTGGCTTTATCTGCCACCCTGCCGTCTAAATCAAAGATCTAATTTTATCGGACTATTTTGCTATTTAGTGGTACCTTATGTATTACTTTTTCCTCTCTTATAGGGTCAAAATAAACGTCTTCAAGTCTTGTGGTATATGGTGGCCGTAATCGTCATGGCCCAGTCCAAAATAAGAGATCAGTACTAAATGTGCATGCGCCAATAAACATTGATAAGTATGGTATTTTTGACTACACCATTTTATTGTTCAAGCTTGGTCCAGTTATTGTCTTTCTCTTCTATATACATATATGCTGGTAGTTATGCTGAGTGTACTACTGGAACATCTACCTTCATAGACGAACCAATTTTCTTATGCTATGTGATATCACCTTCTATGCTATCCTTTACAAATATCAAATCGTGCTCCTCTCACGATACCAAGGGGTAAAATTGGCTGGCTGGGGCCAAATTCTTCCAGTTCAATTTTTCCCATCGTCTTGAGTATTAGGGTGTTTTGACCCGTGTGTTCTAGACAGACTAGTTTTCCGGATTTTCTTTATCCTCGTACTCCTCGATATACCGTCCATTGTTGACACCGGAGTTGTGTTCGACTATTCCCCAAATCCGGTCCATCTTCAATCCTCCGATGTTGTCCACCACATAGTGTTCTCTCTTGGTGTTGGACTCAGGGTCCACCTCGCACCATGATGCGTATGGCATGAGCACTGAGCGCTTAGGCGCTAATTGCAACAGCCTGTTGTTGGAAACCTGCAAAAGTGTGTTGTAGGTCTTGCCTCCGGTGGAGTTCAATTTCTCCAAAATCAACTTTTCGTCTTGCACCAAATTCTCCAAGGTTTGAGGCTTGTCCTTATCGTACAAACGGAAGATTCTGGTGACATAGTCCTTGGTACGGTACTGGACGTACGCAGCAGGCACTCCGCACGATACCAAAGTGGCCACAGCATAAATATCGTCGAATTGGGCAGACTCGTAGAATAACTTGGCTCCGTAGACCCCCAACACCGCAAAACTCAAGGTGAGACGTTTCAACATGGCCACATACTTGGCTCCTGGTGCCTCGTACAACGAGCTGTAGGAGAGACGGTAGTTGCTGGGCAACGCAGTGGCCCTTATCGAGTTGGGCTTGTGGACGTACACGATGTCGTCGTATAACGTGGGCGACCACGGGTTGTTGTCAGTGACGATTTCGTCGGACTCCACTGTTGCATCGGATGTTCTGAAGTTACCTTTGTGCTGGATACGGACAGGCAACGCTGTGCTGAAGGGACGGATGGCCATGGGAGCTCTGGCCGCTATTGAAGTTCTGAACATGATTTTATAGTAGGCTGGTCTGTGGCGCTGAATTGAAGTAAGGATGTTTTGATTTTAGAGCTCTTTCTGTAGCGGGAGGGTGGAGACTGGTCGTGTAAGTATTCTTGAAGCCAAATACTGTAGTTCAGTAGTAGGTGGTGGAGGTTGATTCTGCGATGGTTTAGTTCCGAGGGCGTGTCAGGTGATGCAATGTATGCAGTCTGCGTATAGGCAGTGACTGGGTAGAAGCGATTACGGTAATTGGCGGTGTGCAGGGACCCGATTGGTTTTGGTATGTTGTGGCACATAGTGAATAAGGGTCTTTCGGTTGTTATGTAATTCGTTGTAGCAGATCTGCTAAATTAATTATACTCTACTACTGGGCTAGAAGGATTGAGGTCATGAAAGTAGTTGGATCATCACGACAGGAAACGTAAAATAGTTCAATATTAGGATTTAACTCGAATTTTCGAGCTCATTTAAAATATGACAGGTGCAAATAGTGCAATCTAAACCCCATTATTGAAATATAATACATGGAGACTTGAACCGGCTGAGACCTCATGTCAAAAAAACTGAGTTTCGTAGAACCGATAATCACAAAAAGCTAGAGAAAGGATCACGGAGAATGGAAATGTCACCAATAATTATTGAAGATGCGGTCATGATTGAACTCGACCTACGACTACTTGCTGACGTTAGATGTTCTGTGTGGCGAAAGTAGCAATGAAAGGGCATTTATTTGCAGAGTCGTACATCTCAGATGCAAAATTACTGTAATCGAGCTATTATTTCTTCCATAATGGTATCCGTCTTTGGATGGAATTAATAAGCCAATTTTGGACTTACAGAGGCGAATTTACAGATATATCCAATGCGAATGAGGTTATGGACTAGGTAGGATAAGAATTCTTCTCAAATAATTCTGGAGCCTAGTCTGTCGCCCAATTATTTGACACACAGTTCAGCCAAGTTGCATTTTCAAACAGCACTCCCGTGTCTGGGTGTAAGGATGCTGCCTTCATAGTGCTACTGTCCCAGAGTATCCCTATTGTTAGTGCACTTTATTTAGTTCTAACGATGCCTTGCAGTTTCTGGAGCTCATTTTTCGGGAATTTCACAGACATGCCCATCATACTCTTCCACACGAGCAGCTGGTGCAAACCACGCGTCCAAATGACAAATAGCCCTCTGAATAAGCCGACCCACATACCAAAATCATGCTCATATAGTTGGTCGTGCGCAACCCGTTTCTGGATCTTTACTACCATCACGATGAACAAAAAATTTAACGATAATATCCCAACTAAACCAGCCATGGACAACGAATCAACTAATAGATTTATCCCAGAGTACCGTCGTACCAACTTCAAGAACAAAGGAAGATTCCAGAGTGATGAATTAAGAAGAAGAAGAGAAAACCACCAGGTGGACTTGAGAAAGCAAAAGAGAGAAGAAGTGTTGTCCAAGAGAAGAAACTTCACCGATAACGCCAACGACAGCGAAGACGAAGACGACGAGTTCGGCCAGCAGAACAATGACGAGAGCCAGTTCTACAGCAAGTTGCAGCAAGACTTACCCAAGATGATTGAACAGATCCAGCAAAACGATTTCGACAGCCAGTTGAATGCCACCGTCAAGTTTAGACAGATCTTGAGTCGTGAACACAACCCGCCAATTGACTTGGTGATCCAGTCGGGGGTGATTCCCACCTTGGTGGAGTACATGAAGGAGTCCCACCCTCAGATGTTACAGTTGGAAGCCGCCTGGGCCTTGACCAACATTGCTTCCGGAAACAGTGACCAAACCAGAGTGGTTGTCGAGGCTAACGCCGTTCCATTATTCGTCGAATTACTCTACTCCAACTCGTTCGAGGTCAAGGAACAAGCCATCTGGGCCTTGGGTAACGTTGCTGGTGACTCGGCCGACTATAGAGACTACGTGTTGGCATGTGGTGCCATGGGCCCCGTGTTGAACTTGTTCAATAGCACCAAGATGTCCTTGATCAGAACCGCCACCTGGACGTTGTCCAACTTGTGCAGAGGTAAGAACCCTCAGCCAGACTGGAACATTGTCCAACAAGCCATCCCAATCCTTGCTAAGTTGATCTATTCCATTGATCCAGAAACCTTGGTTGACGCCTGTTGGGCTGTGTCTTACTTGTCTGACGGCACCAGTCAAGCCATCCAGGCCGTTGTTGATGCTAGAATCCCTGCTCGTCTTGTTGAGTTGTTGGGCCACGACTCCACCTTGGTCCAAACTCCTGCTTTGAGAGCCATTGGTAACATCGTTACCGGTACCGACTTACAAACCCAGCTCGTCATAAATGCGGGTGTCTTGCCTGCTTTGGCCCCATTGTTGCACTCTCCTAAGGAAACCATCCGTAAAGAAACCTGTTGGACCATCTCCAACATCACTGCTGGTAATGTCGACCAAATCCAAGCCGTTATCGATGCCAACTTGATTCCTTTGGTCATTAAGTTGTTAGCCACCGGTGATTACAAGACTAAGAAGGAAGCTTGTTGGGCTATTTCCAACGCCTCTTCGGGAGGATTGGCCAGACCAGAACAAATCCGCTACTTGGTCTCCCAAGGCTGTATCAAGCCATTATGTGACTTGTTGGCTGTCGCAGATACAAAGATCATCGAGGTCACTTTGGACTCTTTGGAAAACATTTTGAACATGGGTGAATTGGACAAGGACGCTCAAGGTAGCTCCATCAATCAAAATGCATTATACATCGAAGAAGCCGGTGGTATGGATAAGATCTTCGAGTGCCAGAGCAACAGCAATGAAAAGATTTACCAGAAGGCCTACAATATCATTGCCAAGTACTTCTCGGAAGACGACGAACAACTCGATGACGATGTCATTGCTCCACAAACTTACGGTGATGCTTACGGATTCGGAGTCAACCCAAGTCAACAACAGAACTTCGACTTCTAATGCTCATAGACCATCAGCCGTCCACCCACCTATTTATACCATGCCAATCTCTAATAAACTAGCCTCTCTTCTCTTATAGTTTATCACGTGTCCGTGGGATACTCACACTCTGCATCTCTCATCATTTCATCTCTAATTCTCCTAACTGGTGGATAATCTCTCATAATATATACTTCATAATATACATCTCTCATACTTTCGTTTTCTTGATTTTTGTCGTTTTCAGACCTTGCATCTCTCATACATCGCTAGCATTAATACATGTGCGTCATGATTAACCATTAGAGGGGCTCATTGGCCGAGATACTTCCTGCAGACAGCTCATAGATAAAGTTTGCTCAATTGGGGTAAAGTGCTGGACAGCATATGGTAACGGCGGGTGTGCATAGGCGTCTCCTCGGGGCTATCTGGATTGGGCACCAGCACCACGGGTATCCTGATGGTAGAGGGGTCCAATGTCCGCATAACAAGGGTGGGAGGTTGCGGCTTACCCGGAGAGCCTATTGAGGATGCATCCACACCGCTTTGGGACACCGACCCGCCAGCATCCGGAGACAAAAGTCGTTTGCGACACTCGGACACTAAGGACCCGGTCATTTTTTCGCCTAACTAGGTAAACCTCCAGGAAAGTTTCATAACACTCCTGCAGACAGTAAGCGCACCAGGCACCATCGCAGAAAAATCACTCACATTGCTCCCCCAAGTACCGAGAATTCCTGCCAATAAAAACAAACAGAGTAATTAGTGATAATTTTCTTGGTAATTCTTCCAGGGAGCTCAGACACTTTTTATATCAGTTTCTTTCACCAGTGAATTAAGATAGACAAGATGAAGTTGAGCAGTGTTGTTGTTGGTATTGCCTCCATGGCTGCCTTAGCTAGTGCAGCTGATGACGCCACCAGAGAAATCGTCACTGTCACCGTCACCGGAACTACCGAAACCCACAAGTACGGTAGATTCGACAAGACCAAGGAGTCTTCCAGCTCCACCTCCACCGGTACCCACAAGTACGGTAGATTCGACAAGACCAAGGA